ATTTGCAGGAAGCGCCGAGGCAGCCCCAGAGAGTTGCTAAGTCAGTCCCACAGGCCTCCCAGCAAAAAGAACATCTCCCTGAGAGGAACTGATCCTAAAATAAGGCCTGCCCAGGGCAATAACCCAACAGAAACAAGCTCTTGACAAACCGCACCTTTATCATAAGGCATGAGTCAGCCCAGGAGCCTGTTGCCATCAACAAATAAAAGAGAGGGATTCATTCCTGAGCAGGTCCACTCCCTATGTCTGCAGGTTTCTGGGATAATGAGAAGCTCCCTGGTGCTATGCATGACAAATATTTATACTGCTCTCTCTGTTTCTGCCCGTATCACCCACGCCAAAAATAAAACTGAAGAGCGAGTTGGAACAGAAGAGTTTCTGAAGACTTGGCCTAGGAGGAAACGTGAGCAGGGAACTGAGCCTGCACACCTCCGAGCACACGACACCTCCGACCTCCTTGGTTGATGCAGATGCCTCATTCCTCCAGTCCAAAGATACAAGCCTCGAAACCATCACTGTAGCTTAACTACACAAATCAAAAACACCCAGCTTTCCAGAGACCAGGAAACGGGTGAGGCAGGAACATATGGACACATCACCCCAAATCACCCCTCTTCCACACATCCACAAAGCCGCAGCAGTTTCCATCTTTCTCTCTCGAGCTGGTACCCCCTCCCCATTTATCACTTGGGAATATTCCTTCCGTTTAGAGCATTCCAGGCTGTCCTTCTCAAGCACACCAAGCTTGGCTGCTGACTTAATTGAAGCACTCACTTGATTACCTGGCATTATTTGATACCATTCATTTATCTGCTGTCCCCAATTCTTTCATGCCTTATCTACCATAAAGATCACTAAATGCTGAGCTGGAGATGTGACCTGGGTTAAGTCAATAGCTACTTCTGTTGGCTGCCAGCATCCTCACTGCCTCTGCAGCCAGGTGTCCCCGTGGGTTCCCTTAACCACGTGTTTGCTGGGGACTGGGTCACGTTCCTGCCCGTTGGGCACCTGCTCCTCACAGCAAGTGGCAGCCAACACTAGAAAATCAGAGACTGAAGATCAGAGCTGCAGAAGAGGGGGTCGAAGCCATGAACAGAAAGATCCAAGAGGAGGAAGTCTGAGGACAAACACACATCTAGTTTCCTCCTCCAACCCCAACGCCAGGCGCTGCTCACACCAGGTCCTGCCTCCCCTGTCCTGCTTCCCAGGGTTTTGAGCTGCTGGACACATGCTGCCCATGGTTCCTCATCTGGGTTTTCAGGTGTAAAGGGCAGGTTCTCAGCAAGGCACAGTAATTGCTGGTATTGATTTCAGCTGGTATCAGACAAGCTGCCTCCACAGCTCCAGCATAGACCTCATCCTCACACAGAGCTCCCCACCAGCACATCCCTTCCCCTCCACAAGCTTGAGAAGTGCTCTGGAGCCCCAAACCACCCTAGCACCTCAGCCCCTTAGAGACACGCTCCCTAAAACCCCCTGTAAAAGAGGTTTGTTCTTCCTTCCTGCCTCTGATCCACTAGAGAGATGAGTTTGCAAAGGCTCCTCCATGGTCAGCACTGAAGCTTCAGGGAAGAGTCATCCTGCAGACAGGATGCTCCCTGTCCAACAGGGGCTGGCACAAGTGACCAGCTCCACATTCCCTTCCTTAACTTCAAGGGCAGCATGTGGAGGGGACACTGTGCCCTGGCTGAAGTGCAGGGTGATGAGCTGGACACGCTGCCACCTCTCTCAGCCAGCCAAGCTCTGAGCCACACGAGCTCCTGCAGCGAGTTACCTCCTTCCTCCCGCGCCCAGAGCGCTGCCGCATCCCCCCGGAGCCTCCCCGGGCCCGGAGCACGCCAGGATGGGAGGATGTTCCCTCCACAAGGGAGCGGAGGCCACGCAGGTGCTGGAAGGCTCCCTAGGAGGGTCCATGCTCCGGTTGCAGCAGTGCAGCAGAGAGGCTGCAAACGACACCTGGATCAGCATCCGGAGCAGCTGCACCACCAACAGCCTCTGTGACCCAGCTCTCCAGGCTCTCTCCCAGCTCCACGAGCTGCTGCCATCACAACAAATACACAAATCCCCATGCACAGAGCTCCGCACGCAGCAACTCCCATCCCTCCTGCGGGGGCAAGTTGAATCCCTCGGTATTTACCCTCGTGCCGCGCTACGAGCGGCTCCCACGGGGGCTCCCCCGGCGCTGCCCGGCGGGGAGGAGGAGGCCCTGGGGGCGCCCCAAGCTGCCCGCGCTCACCTGGGCTCGGGCTGCTCCGGCTCCGGTTGCTCCGGATTCTCCGCTCCGCTCCGGCGCTGCTCCCGGCGAAACTGCCCGGGCCTCGGCCTATCAGCGCGCCCCGCGCCGCCCAGCTCGGCCCCCATTGGCGGAGCAGGGAGCGGCTCCGCAGCGGGTAAATATTCCCCCGCGCGCGCGCGCCCATTGGCTGCGGCCGCCCGAGCCCCGCCCCGCTCCGGGGGTTATTGTTATTCTTATTGTTGCAATCATTATTAATGCTATTATTATATATGGACTGCATATATTAATTACTATATTAACAACATACTCCTATTAATAATGCCAATAATAATAATAATAATAAATCAATAAAATTTATAGCTGACTATACCAGGGGGATGTTGGCAGCCTAGGGCTGCTGGCTGGGCAGGGGGTCATGGGCCTGGCTATGGGGACAGGGGCTTTGGGGACAGGGCTTCGGGAATAGGGGCTTTGGGGACAGGCCGGGGGGACCCCGTGGCACTCGGCAGGCGCAGGTTGGGGGTGGCTCCCACATCTCAAGGGGACTCAGATTAATGCTGCAGCTCGCAGTTTACCATAAACTTTGCTTCACATCCCCTCCCTAAACATGTTTTTTGACAAGAGAAGCCACCAGCAGCTGTAAAATATACTTTTTTTCCCATGAAAAATCTTGCATGACTGATGGGAGGAGGCAGGAGACTCCAGGGCTTGTTTCGGACAAGGATTGTTTCGGACAAGGCACAGGATGAGCAACGGGACCAGGGTCTGAACCGTCCTCCAGCACAGACAGTCACTGGATGCAGAGTAAGAATTGGGCCAAAAATCAAAAACCAAAATTGTCCCAAGTTCCTTTCCCATGAAACACGAGTAATGATCCCACAAAGTACTGTGATGAGGGCAGGGCGAGTCCTGGAGAACGCTTCTCTTGGACACCTAGACCATGATGCTGCAGCAACATTCACATAAGATCCTGCTATTCCTCTGTCTAGGCAGAGTTGGCTGTTAACATTTCCAGAGTGCTTTCTGGGTGAAAATGAGCTGAGAATTCTTCAAACGTATTAATTTTTAATTTGCACTGTTACAGTGTCTGGAAGTGCCAGGTGGAAACCAGGGCTCCTTGTGCTGGGGACTATGCACAAAGAGCAAATTACTGCAGAATAAGGTTTCCTGCAATCGCTCTTCCAAAATACCTGCACCACTCACTTTCCTTCAGAGTAACTGAGCCTGAGGGGACAAAAAGATGTATTTACTTAAGGTGCAGTGTGGTAACCCTTACAGACGAGCATAAATCAAGAGCTGCCAGTTGTGCAGCTGAATAATAAATGTTCTTACTAGGTGAGGAGGGGATAGCAGGTATTAAAATCAGGCAGCTGCTGAGTAGCCTCTAAAAGCTGTCACCCTGCATGGTGTCACTCTGCATGCCCAGCCCTGGGGCAGGGACAGGGTGATGATTTTGCTGGTTAAAGAATTAAATTACATCCTCTCGCTTCGCTCTTTGCTGGCTGCAGAAATGGTTGATGAATGAAAAGAAAACCAGAAAACCAAAAGACTAGGTATTTTGAAAAACAGGGAAAAAAATGAAAATAAACCTTCTTTTTTATTTCCTCTTTTTTTTTTTTTTTTTTTTTTTAAGCATCCCTAGGGATTTTTAGGGATTCCCGCTCAGCAGTTTAGAATAACAACTACAAAGGATCATTTTCAAATAGCGTCTTTCCTAAATTCCTACTTTTAATTCTCTCCCAGGAGGGAAGGGGGGCTTTGCACTACAAGCAGCTTGAAGGATTAAGCGGGAGGCAGCAACCCCAGCGCTGTTCCTGGAGCGGTTTAAGTGGAGGCCAAGGGATCCCTCAACCTCTGGCCCTGCTGCCTCTGCTCCGGGCAGCGGTTTTGAACGGAGGACGAGAGCTGCGGTCTTCCAGTCCCCTCTGGTGGCCGCAGGGAGCCTTCCCTCCGCATGGCCACTGCTCCTTGGCACTGCAGGCCTCTTGCGTGACCGCAAAGGTGGCACAAAACCGGCTGGCTGAGCTCCAGGTCGCTTTCTGGACGCCCCTCTGAATTCCGCCCGCACGGGTGCATGGTGCAGGTGTCCTCCCTGCCGCACCTGCACACGGGTACCACGGTTCCAGCTCCCCACCAGCATCACCTGCATTTTGGTGACAGCAATGCAGCCCCTGCAGCCTCTTCTCCGACCTCTCGAGGGTGGGAACAAGCCAGTTCCCAAGTGGCAAAGTTTCCTCCGGAGGGTGCGGAGGCAGGCGCGGAGGCGGGCGGTGGGTGGTGGCAGAGGCAGCGCACGGGGAAGCCGGACGCTTGGCACGTCCTGTGCTGCAGCGCCCGGCACCGCTGGCACCCGCGACAAGCACCACGCCCCAGGGGCACGTTGTAGAAAAATTAAAAGTTTATTTATTTTTTAGTAAAATACGCTCTTACAAAATACTCTTTTTTCACGGCCGCGCCAGGAGGAGGAGGCGCAGCGGCAGCCGGCGCAGCGGATGCCCAGGAGGTGACACGTCCACATGGTGAGTGGCCACGCGCGGTGGCTCTGAGGGGCTCTGGCCGGCAGCCGACTCAGCGGGCGGCTCTGGCCGCGTCGTTTTCCACTTTTCCTCAGGTCAGAGCTGTCCCAGGCACCCGCAACGCTCTCCCTGCGGGGGCTCCGGTGCTGCCGAAGGGGATGATGAGTTTGGGAGAGGAGGAGGAGGGTCCGCCAGGGGCCATAATGTCCCACGGTGGGTGACAGGGCAAGGGCAGCTCTGCTCAGCTCTCACTGCTGGTTGTCCAGCTGCTTCTCCTTCTTATGTGACTTTGACTGGGATCAAATGAGAGAAAATATTAATTTCTTTTATTTTTTTTTTCCTTTCTTTTACTATCAGCAGTGAAAATGGCCACAGAGGAGCCACTTCTAATCCACAGGGTCTATGCATCGTTTTGGATGAAAACGCAGGAGCTGTTGCAATTAATACCAGCTCATGTGGAAGGTCTGTGTAATTCTGGACAGGAGGTTCATGGGTTCCAGCCCCTGGCAATCGCAGGGGACATCTAGCTTGGAGATGGTGCCCAGTCCCCCTCAGGGTAAACATTGTGCCTGTTGTGGCATCCTGGCCGCTGCGCATCGACACACACAGGCGGCCTGAATTGTTACTCACCGGCTCCTTTTCTGCATATTTGAATTTCTTCTGCTTGTAGTAATCCCGTCCTTGCAGGAAATGCAACAGCAGCAGGTCGCAGAGGACAGAGGCCTTAAATTGAAGCAGGGCACAAATCAAAGCATAGGTTAGGGCTGGTCTTATCTTATGCCTCCCAGCCTCATTCCCAAAATTCCAATTTGTCCCTGAAATTTGAGTGTTTCTGCTTAAGACCCCTGGCTTGGGCACTGCTTGGGCATGCACAGCCCAAGAGCCCAATGGTACAGCCAAGTGCCGAGAGCGTGTACAGAGGGAAGCATGATGGATTCAACGCCAGGAGATTTAGGTCAACTTTAGGTCTATCCAGAGCCCAGCACACTTTGGTCTTTTGTCTTCAGTAGCCATAACTGTACCTTGGTTTTTGTCTGGTGTAAAATGCTGTCCCTCACCTCCAAAAATCATTCAAAGCACCCCAATACCTCAGAAGCCATTGAGTATGTACCAAAACATGGCTCTCCCGTGAAAGCCTTCAAGCTCAAGCAGCTCATGCTAAGCAGACTTCATATGGGACTGTCATCAGTGGACACCTATTGCCCTGAGCAACACAAGATGAAAGAGCAGTTCCCTTGTTACTTTTCATGTCCCTTGCTGCCTGAGCAAGAACTGGTATTTTGATGGATTCAGGGACACGTCACATTAAAAATTCTTAATAAGTTTCCTTTTTTGAGTCTGGAAATATCTGAACTTACCACTCCAAAAATACCAATTCCAGAGCCGATTGTGGTCATGGTTGGGATAATATCAAATTTTCCTGCCTGAAAAAAAGCCAGAGGAAAGAGGCGATATGTCAGAATCAGCCAAGGAAAATGAAATGTGCCAATAGGTGCAGATGGGAGCTCAGCTAAAGAGCAGCTCACACCACAAAATCAACCACTGCACAGAGATGGACCGGAGCTAGTGGAGGGCTGGTTTGGAGCTTGTTGATCTAATAGAAAAGTTTAGATTGTCTGGGTTTTGGGCAGACCCCAACAGTTCCTCCCTATCCTGGGGCAGAACTGCAGACCAAACTGCAGGTCAATGTGACCCATAAAACAGGACTCCCCTCTCCCTCCTCCCTAGTGGCCATCAAGAGCCCTAAGGGTGCAGGCACCCACACAAGGTCCTCACCGGCACCCGTGCCCCCACCCTCACCTTGCCGTTCACCAGGATGTCAAAGCGGATCCCGAAGACCTTGTACAGAGTCCTCTTGTCCATTCCATCCTCCTTGTAGTATTTGGCGTATCTACCCAATTGGACAAGCAGTTTTACAAGCTTGCTGGCCATGGAGCAGGACAGGACCCCAGTACCCACAGTCCTGTCCCCTTCCATGCCCTCCAAGGAGCCTTGGCTGCAGGCACGTCATCCTCCCATGCCTCCACTGGCACTTGGAGACGCATTTCCCGTGGCAAATCTGTTTACACCCCATCAAGTTGTCACCTCCTGGCTGGAAAGACAATCCCTGACCTGAAGTTGAAGCCAGGAGAGACGTTGCTGTCGTCGTTGTAGAGGCCGTGGAACTGATAGATGGGCTTGCAGTGGCGGATGGGCCAGTCGAGGTCACAGTTCCAGTCTATGGTGATGCCCACAACGCCTCCCTGCAGTGAAGAGAGGCCACATCACATCCCAGCTTTGTCCCCGAGTGGCCAGGCTTGCTCCCGCATGGACCTCCGAATCCCACCCTCTTGCTCCTGGCTCATCTTCCCATGTCCAGGCATATGCATGAACTGCTGTAGGTACTAACTACACCGTGGAGGTTTTCCTTATGTATCTTTAATCCATGCAAGTCTCTGATATAGTTTAATGTTTGACAGAGTGGGCTTAAGGTTGTGAGAAGCTGCTGTTCTTGCATATAGGAGAAATGCATGAGAAATGTCGGGCAGAGTTTCGGTTTTGAGCCTGGAGGGATGCTGTGGAGCTCGCGCCGTGCCATGACCGATATTTGACTTTTTGGCTGAGATCTCAGAATTCAAACAAAGAGGATTTGGCCAGGCAACTCTACTCATTAGTTACACAAATTAAAACAAACCAAATCCTGGATTTCCTGTCAGCAGGCCAGATCTATCAGTCTAACAGGGGAGTTTCCCAGAAAGGCTTAAATATTAGGCATGTCCAAGGAAATTCATTATCTTTAAAACTTAATTCAGACATTGCCACACAAATCCCTGAACAGCCAGATCCCTCTCAGCTCAGCAGCCCAGGGGTGATTCCTCCACTAGCCCTTTCCCATGTCAGCAAGAAACATCCACTGAAATGTGAGTACCTTAACAGCCAGGAGGGTGAAATTTTGCCCCGATTCTTTCACTATGTATCCCAGGTCAAACACGGGACATAAGGAGTCCGTGACTTTGTGGTATGTGCATTTCTTCAGGTACTGCTTGGTGACGCTCTCAACTAAGTTGCGCCTGTGAAGGAAAATAGTGTGAGAGAGTGAGTCTGAATCACAGACCAGCGGAGTATTTTGGGTCAGAAAGAGCATCTGGAGGTCTCCAGTCCAGCCTATGGCTCAAAGCAGGGCAACGTCACAGCTGGGTGAGATTGCTCTGTCCTTGTGGTTTGGACATTGCTCAAGTGAACAGCAGGGTCTCCATCCATGCGAGTCTATCTCCTCTGGGTGGGACACCCTGCTCTTCTCTGATTTCTCCTGTGTCACCAGCATCTTGAAACCTTCCTGAATGTCCTCATGCAGAGAAAACGTCGCTACTGAGTTTTCCCTCCCCTAAGTCTCTCTTCCTGCTTTCAGCTTGCTATTTTGGCTGCTGCCCATGTCTGCATTCTGATTCTCACAGATCCCCTTTCCTCCCCCAAGTCTGCAAGCCCTCCTGTGGCCTCTGCCATCCTTTCCAGCTGCATCACTGGTTTGTCTGTCGGCTCCTCCATGGGATCTGCCATATGTTGCTTCATATACAAATTGTTTTAATTTGGAACGGCTCAAAGATAATGCATCTTAGAGCTTCAACTTGTAGAATTTTTTCGCTATCTTGTCCAGAAAAGATGAAAAGGAAAGGATAGTTTCTTGCCAGCTGCCCTCTTCTGCACTTTCACCTAAAAATAGTCCTCTGTGAAGCCTCCCTGGCCTCAATGAAAGCCTTGTGCCTCAGTCAGCCCCATCCCATCATTTGTGCTCAGCAGTTAATTAGCAGCTGTGATCAAAAGCAGGAAGTTTCCCCTGGTCCTGATGGGTGGGTGCTCAGCCTGGTGCAAAGAGGCCCCAGAGCGCAGGAATTTGCAGCCCAACTCTCCAGCTGACCCATGCAAACCAAGTCTGCTCTCTCCCACTGTCATATTGGGTATTTTACTATTTTCGGTAGGGGAGAAAGGAGAAGAAAAGTAGGAGAAAAACTGTATTATTGTGTGTATCATATGAGGAAACTCAAGGGAACATAATGACACAAACTCTGTTTCTTGTAGGCGCAGCCACCAACTAAAGTAGGATGGGTTTCAGGGAGAGGGCACTGAGGGAATATCTCAGTTTCTATCAGCTGGTTTGGCTCCTGAGTTTGCTGATAAGGCACTGCATCTCCCAACTACCTGAGCCATTTTAGGTATCCCTGCTTGAGCAGGGGGGTTGGACTAGATGATCTCTAGAGGTCACTTCCAACCTCAACCATTGTGTGATTCTGTGGTTTTCCTCCTAGGGCTACAGCTGGGGCAGAAGCTGTGCCTCCCAAATCTCCCCTTACCTGGACACCTTAAACTTGGGGAAGGTGATGCTGTTCTTGATGAATAAGGTGAAATTTTCTGCTTCCATCAGCAAGGCAGGGCTGAAAAACACAAGCGTTGACACATGTCCATCACCCATCTCTCCAGCCTCTAGGAAAGGGCCTATTTGGTGGAGATATATTAAAAAACCAGGGCAGGCAGAACCCAGCAAAACTGGTGATCTTGCTTCTGCCATTTCTAAGTAGAAGATCCCCTGAGAGACACCCAAAAAGGACAGAAGTGCCTGCTGGAGGACAGAGAGGAATTTTGGTGGGGTTGAGAAACCCCAAATGCACGGTGAGCAAAGGAAAAGGTCTGACTTTGCTCTGCCCTATGGTATGTGCTGCTGGTGCCATCTCTGGGCTGGAAAATAGGAGGCAACTACATAATTTCTTACTTAGGAACGTGATAGTCTACTTCGACAGGACACCAGCCAAAGATCTCGCAGGTCTTCACAGAGTTGTTGAAACTCACACACTTGCCAGTCATGAGCCCTGCAGAGAAGACAGGCAACTGCTCACACTCTGGATACTGGAAAATCCCAATGTAATACCTTTTAACGGGTCAAATGTGGGATTCATGGGATTTATGGTTGCAGTACTAACCCCATCACAGACATCAAGGCACAAAGTACCTGGTGTTTTGGCACCCTTTCATAAGAAGGGTATCTAATTCTGCCCTCTTGATTTGGAGCAGGAACTTCTCTTGCACCATCATTGTACATGGGAGCAACTGGACATGTTTCTTGCTAGAAAACACCTCAAAAATGCTTTGCCATTAGAATTATACCAGCTTTGTGCGAATGTGGATTTAGTCTGGCTTAATTTTTTTATTGGGAAGAGGTTTTTCAGATTAGATATCTTTAGGAAGAAAAAAGCAAGGCCAGCCAGGTACGATCCACACCGGGGATGCTGAGTAAACTCCATCAGCTACTGACCCCAGGCCTCCAAGACCAGAGACGCGGGGACCCTGCTGAGATGTGGCCACCTACCTTGTCCCTGGCGGCTGTACTTGCCCTGGCTGCAGTCGCTGTCCCGCTCGCAGAGCCCAGCCTCCGGCAGCTGTGGGGACAAGCAAGCAGACGTGGCTCCCCATCGGCCCACGTTCGCTGGGGCTCTGCCTCCCACCCCAACCCCACAGCATGGCTGGCCGCTCACCACCAGCACCCAGGGGAAACCTTGCTTGGCTGCAGCCAGAGCCATGTCTGTGCTCGGCTTCCCAAGGCCACACTGACTAAGGAAAAGGTGTTTTTTTTTTTTAATGCCCTGGAGGATGCCTTTTTCCAGGTTGGCCATGGCCTTGAGCCTGCCCTGCTCCTTCATCTCCAGAACGGAGGGAAATGAAAGTGGATTCTGGCCATTCTCAGCAGAACAGACGCCGACACATTGCACTTTCCAGCCACAACCAGCAGCATGGTGCCTGGCTCAGACCCTCCCTAAACTTCTTGTTGAGAATAAGAGCAGTGAAGCCAGCTCCTTCCTCCACGCCACTGCCTGACCGCAAGCACAGGAAGCTGAGACCTAGGATGGAAGTAACGGCAGCTACCTCAGGGCATGTTCCTTGCTTCTGTCCAGGGGTGATAATGAAGTTGGTCATCACCACAAAAGAGTTGTCGCCCTGCAGAGACAAACGGGCCCAGCTGGGACCTGGCACGGGCTTTTCCTCTCCCGCCTGCCTTTGGGTGCAGCTCCGAAAGCCGCTGGCAGGTGGCCCTAGGGAGCTGTCCCTGAGCAGCGGGAGACGCATCAACAGCTCCCAAGGACAAGGATGGTCTCTGCAGGCACCCACCACCCTGGCCCTGAGATGTGGCTGTGGACCCGACCCGCTCGCGGCCACAGGGACACCCTGCCGGACAAGGCAGCACTGGGGGAGAGCCCGGGCGCCGCCGGCGCCGCCTCCTTACCTGAGGCGGGAAGACGTAGTCCACCACGTCCCAGATGTGGGGGCCCAGGCGGCTCTCGTTGGTCAGCGTCAGCCCCTTGAGCTTCACCGAAACCGAGCTGACGATGGAGTCCTGCGACTGGTAGCCCTTCTCGTAGAGGAAAACCCACCTAGGGCCCGCAGAGGGGACAAGGGGAGTGTTGCTGAGCTCGTGCCCGCAGCAGGCGCCACCCGCGCCATGCGGCGCCGAGGGACCCTGCCGGTGGCCATGGGAGGTGTGCGTGCTCGTTAGGTCCTGGCACCAAGTAACCTTCAGCAGGGAATTAACTGCGACACAGGGAGATTGTAAACACAGGCCGGTGACTGCGGCGGAGAGCAGCGCTGGGTGCTAAAAAAGGAGCGATCTGGTTTTTGTCAGCCCTCCCTCAGGCCCCAGAGAGGAGAGGAACGGAAGCCCCGGCGGGGCGACGTTGGCCACCATCCACCGCGTCTCCTCGAACATCTCTGTGGCATTTCCTCGTGCCCAGGAGGGACATTCAGGCACAGGACTGCCCTTTGCCACCTCGTGGCGCCCCGGGCCCCTCTCGCGGCCCTTGTGTGTGAACGCGGCGGGGTGCGGAGGCCCCGAGGCCACGGCGCAGGCGGAAGCGGGCAGAGCGCGGCGCGGGCTCCGGAGAGAGGCGCGCGCCGCGGGCGGGCCGCTGCGGGAGGCTCGAGCACAGCAAGCTAGCAAACAAACAAGTGCAGTTGCAAATAAATAAATATCTGCTGGCCAAAGGAGGAGGAAGAGGAATGCTGAGCACGCCGGCGTGCTGCCGATGGGAAAGCGGGAGCGGTGAGCGGGATGCCAGGGCTGGCTGGAGCAGCCTGGCGGGACGGTGACGGGACAGCCACCCCAGCAGGGCTCGCGAGCAGGGGAATCACCATGATCTCGTGCTGACATCCTGCATCGATGCCACGACCTCCTGCCCCGGCCTGTGGGTTTCATTTTTTTAAACCTTCCTTGCTGCTAGTTGCAGTTTTAGCTCAGCGGCTTGAGACAGGCTCCTTAGGAACCTGCGCTCCAAGCAGCCACCTCTGCCTGCTTTCCCATGCCGAGGTGGCCGTGTCCATGCCCCATGGGTCCTGCATGGGGGCAGCAGGGACCCGGGGGCTGCGGAGGAGCATCCCAAAAGCAAATGCCAACCTGGCCATGTTGCGGCACCACGAGGACACGCTGCCCCGCTCTGCTCCCAGCCCCCTGCTTGGCTCCCTGCCTTCCCTAAGCCGGAGCTGCTGGCAGGACAGCCTTGGGATGGAGGAGCTGCTCCAGCCACGGAAAGGGGCAATGCCTGAAGCCTGGGGGAGACTGCTGGGGTGCCAAACCTTACCCGATGATGTAGGTGAGGACGACGAGCTGGATGAGGCGAAAGGTGAGTCCCACCTTCTTGTTGCGCACCAGCACCATGCGCGGGGTGTCATACTCGAAGAGGAAGGACGACACCTTCTCCATGCACCTCTGCCCCATGGCTGCGGCGGCGGCGGGACGCGGGAGGCTCCCGCTGCCGCCCCGCGCGCAGGGAGGGCTGCGCTCGCCCCGACTCCGGTCTTTGCAGAGAGGAGGGGTAAAAGAGAAAAGAAAAATAAAAGGACTCGCTAGCGGCGTCTCTCGGCGCACATCTGGGCAGCCGCTTCCTCGTCTGCAGGGGCCGGGGCTCCCGCCTCCTATAAGCGCTGGGCTGGGTGCAGCCGGTGCCCTACATGGCCCGGGGCTGGGCCCGCGGTGCCACCCGCCTTCCCCGCTCCCGAAAGGGGACCTGGGTGCCGGGTCGTGAGCAGAGGCAGGAGGGAGATGCACGGAGCGGGGGGAGGCGGAAACACCGACTCTGACTCCACGCTGCCTGAATTCCTGAATTTTCCCCAATTCCCGGCTGTGCAGGGAAGGAAGAGTGCCCAGCTCCCCTTGCCCAGCCCCGTGGCACCCCAAAGCCGCTGACCCCGATGAGGGCTCCCCCAAAGCCCTTGGGGAAATCTGCTGTGAAGGGAAGCGGAGCTTCGGGAGGGGGGATTTCTGGTGGAAGTGAAGGCTGTTTCCCCTGCTGATCCTGGCTCCGGAATGGTGCTCCACAGCCACGTACTCAAAGCTGCGGGAGCCTTCGCTCTGTCCCATCCGAGTTGGGACAGACACATTTGGCAATACGGAAAAAGGGGCCAGGGAAAAAAGGAAAACAAAAGGTTCCCTGCTTTCCTGCTGGACCTCTGGTTTTCCTTTTTAGCATCACTGGCACCTTCCCATGCCCTCAACTTCAGGCGCCCTGACCTGCGGGCTCAGCGCACGGCCTGGCGCCGGCGGGAAGGCCGTGATGCTCCCGCACATCCCGATCTTCCAGCCGCGCCACAAAGCTCCGCACTCCAAATCAGGCGATCCCAGGCGACGGCCTCGTGCAGGCGCCCGCGTGCGCGGCAGCGTGGGAAGCCGTGGAGACGGGCGCCAGCGCGCGGCCCGGATGCTAATCGCCCAATTGATGCCCAATACCGCTACCGAGCGGAGCAGGCGAACCTTATAAGCTTAGATATCTGTGAGGGGAGAAGCGAATAACTTACTGTATGAAACGAGGCCTTTTAGGGAAGGCGGTGCACCCCTGCCAAGGCCATGGGGATAATGAAAATAGGACAGCTAAATTTAACAGCGAAATGACTTGTAAAGAAATCACTTCTACCCTCCTCTCTGGTCCAGGGAGTCAATAAAATGGTTAGAGCATGGATTTAGCAAAAATAGTTTCCATCGGGTGATAATAGGCACCTCCCGATTTAGCCTCCAGCGAGCCCCGATGTGGCCCGCAGGTCCGGGTGCTCAGTGCTGGGTTTGCCACCTGCTGAATTGCTTTATTCGATTTATTCAATGGGTGTAAGGTGATCAGGGACGGTGACACCCAGGGTGGGTGGCAGGGCGCGGCCACAAAGGGTGTTTGCTTGCAGGTACTTGATAATTTCCTGCAAAGGGTAAACAAGAATTAAAAACGAAACAAAAATGGGTGTAAATGGGGTTTTGCACCTGTTGGCCCCAGCCCGATGGAGAGTCACCTTTGGCTCCAGCTGGGTCCAGTGCTGGCTTCCATCACCAGGAGAGGGGAAACGGCCCCGGGCTGCCCTGCCCTGGCTACAGTGAGAATTGAATTGGCTACCAAAGAAGATTCTTGCATTTGCTCAATAGGCAATAACTAAATGTCTTTTTGGGTTTGCAGAGTGAAAAATGCAAAAGTTTCTGTTTTCGAGGCAGCCCTTGGAAGCGCGAGCTGCAGCACGGAGCTGACGCCGACAGCCCACGGCAGCGGCGAGGAGGGAGCAGCTCCCGGAGCTGCCGCCGCGCAGGGCAGGAGCCCGAGTGCCTGCAGTGCCCGCGTCGCTGCGCCCGCAGGCGAGGCTGCTGCGGCCTCGTGGGAGGCTGGAGCAGCAAGAGCCTCCCGCGCGCTGCTCTTCCCGAATCCTCAGCTCTGCCTTTGGAAAAGCAGGACAGAAGCGCAGCCGGTTACACACTGCAGGCTCGCGCTTGGCAGCGGCCGTGACAGCACTCCGAATCTCAGCCCAAAAACCTGCAGCGCGCTGGAAACACGAGGGGCCGCGGCCGCACGGCTCCCTCCTCCACCGCGTGGCCACCGCGGCCTCGCTCCTGGCCACCACAGTGACCCCGGCCACCGCAACGAGCGGGGCCGCCCTGGGAAAAACATTTGGCAGCGGAGGGCAGGCGAGGCCCTACAAGACGGCATGTTCAGTTTGCGTTCCAATTTTAACTTGTTCTTGACCTCTCCTCCCTCTCCTTCCCGGCAGCGCTGGCGCTCCGCGGCGCCCTCGCGCACGCACGTGTTGCTGAGGGCACCGGCTCCGCAGACGCGGCCGCGCGGCCCCGCGTTGCCACAGCAACTCTTCTGACTGGAAATATCTTGGCCATGATCTAGCCAACTCCAAAGCAAACAAATTAAAGGGAGATGCTGAGGATACCTACGGGAGCCAGAGCCCCGCTCCCATCCTGATCCATGGGAATGCAACACCCGCAGCCTTCGGGGAGGCCTGGAAAGTCCTACAGGAGGGACACGGGACGTGGTGACCCTTTGGATGGTGGTGCAGGGGTGGCCTGGAGACGGCCACCATAATGTGTGGATTCCTTGGTGAAACAGGGTAAAATCAGACCTCTTTCCTCAGGCTAGTGACCTGGTAGGTTATAAACAGACTGCTTGTGAAAAACACCCTGTTCGGGTCCCACCACCCTTGGTGAACACCTTCCTCGATCGCAGCATCTGGCCAGGGAGCTCCAGATTCTCATCTTCAGGCACATGTCCCCTTGAATCCAAGCTTGTCCCAAAACCCAAGTCCTACCTGCAGTGGGGTTTTCCACTCCAAACACTATAATCTCCAGAGCTCCAAGTGGCTTGGGGAGAGAAACACAGAGCCCCAGGTTTCCCTCACAGACTCCTTGCTGGGATTTGGGGGCAGCTTTGCTAACACCTTGGCCAGCACAGGTGGAACGTCTCCCACCACCAAAGGACTACTAAGGAAGGTTGAGTTTTCAAGGTCGTGGTGCAAGCTGGACTTTAAGTCCCTCTCTCAGCAGATGGAGACAAAGTGGGGACTGGCCTGGACAGAGTCAAACCCAGCACTGCTGTTTGCACTCCCGTGCCCTAAGAGTGAATTAGCTGGTTCTTTAAAAACTCTCAGCAGTCACATCGTGCCACTCCTTCCCTTTTGCCCTTGTCGATCGATGCCAAAGGCGGCCTCAGCTCCATTTCTAGTTTGGCTGCTATGAAAACCCACAAGAAATCCTGATCTGGTGAGTGCAATTCCTTTTAGGGCTGAAGAATGCCCTCAGGCTCTCCATACAGCTCTGACCGGCTTCTCAGGGTCCCCCAAATGTGCAGCAAACGGGCCAGAGCAGGGCAAGGCAAGCAAAAGAAAAGCAAAACCAAAAAAACCTGAGCCATCCAGTAAAATTGCTTTTATTTCTGTAATTTCATAAGTATAAAACAAATCAGCCCAATATTGTGTGAACAGAGTGGATCATAGTTATGTGACAGCAACGAGTCTTCTCGCATCTTCACAACACACCTGGCTATTTACAGTCAGACAAAGGACACAATTTAGGAAGCAGTAATTGAGTGGAAAAATATCTCTCATATAATAAAATAGGAAACCTTTTTTCTCTCAGTTCTACCCCTCAAATAATACCCTCCCCCCCAAGATACAATGATTTACCTTTTGCTACGAAGCACAAACTCAGAGGTTTCTAGATTCCGCTGTTGAGGCATCCTATATATACTTAAAAACTAAACAAAACAAATCCAAAGACTCCAGCACGCTCTCCGATTGAAGCCAGGACACTCACAGCACCTGCTCCAGCTCCACGGCTCCCCTCTTCCTCGCCCTTCGCGCTCAGCCGGAGCCCGCGGCCTCCGCACAGCTTGGCCATGAGCCTGCTCTACAGATGCCTCCATGGCTCCCGGTTCACATCGGGACATCCAGCCTCGCTAACACCCTGTCCTTTCCGAAAGCTGAACGGCACCGAAAGGGAAGGCTCCAAGGAGCACAACCTGCCCTGTGTCCTCCTTGTCCGCTCCGGTCCTGCGGAGCCTAAACCCAGCAGTGCCCCGTGGAGGCTGCTGCTGGATCTCCCATGGAGCGCAGCTCTTTCCTTCCTGCAAAACCAGCTCTACCGAAGCGTGAGGCACTCCGTGCCCGCCTGGATACGCACCGAGAAGCGGGGATGCCACATGGTAGGGCGCTCTCCTCCTGCCAGGCCACGCACAGCCAGGGAAGGGTCACTGGAAGGGGGCAAAAGCCCATGTGGAGGGAGCGGGGATACCCGGGAACAGCCTGGCACGGGTGGCGAGCCGGCACCCTTGGGAACTTGTGGCCTTGCCAGCAGGACCACGGACAGCAGCCAGTGCCACCAGTTGGGCAACTGGGGCACGCAGGAGCCCCCCACCCGCAGGGCAGAGGGCAGGAGGCATCACTTCCAATTGCTCAGCTGGGATCTCCAGCTTCCTTCATGAGAGGTGATGGCCACTCCAGAACAAACAAAAGGAACAAAATCCCAACAAAAGTTCCGAGCAGATTTGGGCAACTCCTGTGCGTGAGGTTTCAGGAGAACCACAAAACAACGTGATACCCTGGTCACTGCACCGCCTGGAACAAGTGTCACCACTGGGAACAGCCACTAGGCTGAACTGCAGGCACATTCATTTGAGTGCTTGTAGAACAAGACTCTGACTGAAAAGCAGCACCACTGAGCTGGTGTACAAAAGAGGGACCAAAAACTGCTTCTAAATGGTCCAATTGCTCCTCCTGCTACTTCTGCTGCACACTCATAGCACACACTCTAGTTTAACCTCCCACCCTTCATTTCTCATGGGGCTTCCAGATGTATTTCTGCTACAAGAATGAAGGTCCTCAAGCCCTCCAACAAAGTCCATGCATCCAACTTCTGACTTCTCTAAAATCTAAAGGTACCACCCAACCTTAGTGGAGCAGAGTCGAGGAAACACATGAAAAACACCAGAGCAGTGTCAAAGTCTCCAAGGCACAAATGAAAAACACTCACAGATTCAACATCAAGACCTCGAACCCTATTTGGAGCAGCAAAGAAATTACCGGATAGAAATAAAATGTAAGATGCAGTACTTCTCAGTTCCTCTCTTTCCTCTCAGTTCCTTCAAGTAACAGCTGCCTTATTACATTTCTAACGTACCTCCTGATAGGATTCTGTGCCTCAGATGGAAGAGCTCATTCCACAACTGGCCGCAATGATACAACATCCTGAAAGAGCACAGGGGAGTTCTCAAAGCTGTTGCCCAACGCTCACAGTTGGTGCTTGCTCAAGGGACGAGCGACCTTGGCCTCCTACCTTTAATTTACCAGCGCAACCCAACGTGGTGACTGGCCCCTGTGAAGGGGATTTAAAGTGCTCACTGAGAAGCCCGTGCTGCCCCCTCGGCGCTTCCTCCGCGACGCATTGGGCACAGCTGCTTCCCTTGGCCTAGGAAGATCTGCAGAACGGCCCGCCGATGGTAAAAGCATTGCTGGAAAGACACTGAGGTTTTTTTTTGAAGGACTCTGCCTACGCCAGGTAGCAGAACAAAAATAAAGAGATCCTTAAGCTCTGTTATCACAAAGATTCTAGCAGCTTTCCCCCTAGGCTGCCTTTTGTAACAGGCTTTTGGGTGAAACAGCTACCCCAGTGTCCACCTCCAGTCTATTGCACACAACCAAACACTTCGGTGGATGTGAGACCTGACCCAAAACCGACCGTCTCGCATCTTTTACCTCCGTGTCTGCAGAAGAACACGCTCGAGCACGTGCAAGGGCCCAGCCCGCTGCAGGTGACATACACGTAATAAATACCTGCTCTGTGATGTATCCTGACCCTTCGCCAAAGCATAACAGAAAAAACAACTAAGCCTAAGGATATTTTTCTATTTTATTAAAATATTTCATCTATGAGCCTCTGTACTTAAAAAGCAGAGTGAAATCTATCTTTCTCAACCAACGAAGGGACTAGCAACTAAAGAACAGAGGGGGGAAAAAAAAGGATGTGTCCCTACCCTTAAGAAACACAGATGTGTAAAAAATGGTCCCTCTTAGCAAGAGAGATGCCTCTTCCAGGTATCCTTAGTGCAGGGTTCATGGACTTGTCATCAATTTTTTAAAGTGACCTGGAGACTCACAATAAAAAGGCAAATACAAATCTGCTGCTGCTGGAAAGCACAGGCCTTTGGCTGAGACGTGGCTCTGATCTCTGGCCCTCGGTGGCTTGGTATCGGTAACTCCCAACTGTACCAAAGGATTGCAAGAACAGGGCCGAACAGAGCAGTGTGGCAGCTCTGCTAACAGCAAAATAACAAACGTATCTCTCTTTAAAAAGCTTTTCTGACAGAGGGTTCAGGATGTTTGGTACAACCACCCCTATCTCTCTGGTGTCAAATGAGACTAGGAAAAAATACCAGCAGGAATTTAATAGTAACGTAAAAAGTCATGATTTCTATGTGCCTGAAAAATATATGTGTTTTTTTAAATCTCCTTGTGTTACAGAACTGTCATCACTATTCGTTACACATTATAGAGACTTTCACATAAGGAAACTGCACATGTATCTGGATAACATTAACAATCATGCAGCAGACGTTCAGCTGAGGGGAAGCGGCACCATCCTGATGGTGCCACTTGGCACAGAGGGACCAAACGAGGGACCGACCACGGCAATGGTGCCCAGGGAGAGGCCACAAGGCAGCCGAAATGCCCAGTCGGACTCCACGGCACGGAGCAACATGGAACGGTGCTGGGATTCCCTGAAGCAGGTCCAGCCACCATCGGTGGTTCCTGGATTTTCAGCCTCCAGGACACATTGAAGCAAACTGTTCTGAAATCACTGGGTTGATACTGAATCCAGCTGAGGGAGGTTGGATTCAGCCCTGGATTAAATTCCTACTAGTTATTTTCCTGCACAGAGAGCTGGAGACGATCTGTACTAAAAAAAAAAGGCAAAATCCACCCTTTGGGGGAAGGGCAACCACATATACTTTTGGTACGGGACTCACTGAAGCCTTATGTTGAAGGCTGAAGCAGTACCTGGGTCATGCCCTGGTCTTCTGCTCCAGGGCAAGTTTCATCCATGGTGAAAACAGCCTTTAAAGAGGAAATAACCATTCCATCAGATCACCAATTAAATCAATCAGACATAAAACTGTTTGAAAAATAAAACTTCTTCAAGACAAAGTATAATATTTAAAAAAAAGATCAGCAACAACCTTCCTGTAACCACAGAATATCTATAAAGACTTTTTTCTTTTAAAGAGCTCCATATTAAAATTCCTTGAATACATTATATATTAAATACAGTTACAACATTCCATGCAAGGTTTTCTGTACATTAAATCAGCTCAGTAGTATAACAATTCTGTACATTCCCATTGGTCTGGGGGCTCTACTCATCTTTTTCAATGCTGGTGATGGAGAAAAGAAAGGAAGGATGATTTTTGGCACATACTATACAGAAGATTAGCACTAGGAGTTTTTATGAGGCAAAAGTGAAATAAAAAAACAAATAGGAAAGGATCAAAATGCTACCCAAACAGCCTGGCTTAGTGCCATTGGGTACTCCAGGCTGGAATTTATAAGAAAGGAAAGGCATGATGTCCAGCTAGCTGAGTATTACTGGGATGGGATCATGGGGAAAAGGGAGGAAAAGAGGAGGGAGCATTTGAAGAGCTGGGAAAGAAATCACTTAGAAACATATTCTCAGCTGATGCTACCCGAGGGAGAAAGGTCAACATACCGGATCCCCAAATCCATTCCTGATCCACACACATCCACACACACACACTTGCAGACTGCCTCATTTCTGCTGCAGAAACATCCCAAGAATTTGAAATACAGCTGGTGTCTCGTAAAAAGGAATTCCATGAAAGACAGAGGAGTGTATTACATACAAGCATACATTCATTCCCATCCTGACAGCAAACCGCTGATGTCAAGGATGTCTTGTGCAAGACAGTGTTGTCCTCCCAGAGAACACAAACTAATGGACAGATGCTAGACCAAAGACCAAAGGCTTAAGCTCTGTCCATAACTCCTGCCAGGGAAATATTGAAAAACTCAACTTAGTAAAGGGAGCGTGACTAGAAACAAGCAGTAGGTGTGAGGAATCCAAAGTTGTTCATTCCCAGGTTGTGTTTAAATGGTTGGCTTTACAAAGAAAATGGCTACAGCTTAAATAGTGCAGGAGATCTAATAAGATGGTCTGTGGAGGAGAAAAGACTAAGTCACGCTTGGTATCTAGGGAGCCTCAGAAGGTGCAAGGTTTTCCCCAAGAAGGAGGAAGAAAAACATGATAAACAGGGAGATTTTCAGCAGCCATCACACACATGTATGCACACGCAATCGCTACCTATAAATACACACCCACAAGATCTACCACACTGGGAGATGCCCAGAATTTGGGCACTAAGCCTTGATACCACCTACAGAGGTGCTGCCGAAGCGCCCAGGCAACACAGCTACCCTAGCACTGCACCTGCACGCGATGCCCCTGCGGACACCAGCGCAGCTCAGAGGCCGCGATCTGCTCCTGCCACGTGTCCCTCCTTGTTTCCTCCCTGGCATGGATCCTAGCCCTTCCTAGCTGAGAGCTGTCCTGGTGTCATCTTGCCCAGCTCAGGAGAGCATCCTCCCATCCACTTTTCACAGTCTTGCTTTAAAAACCAGGCTCCCCTGTTGATCACCTGTGAAGGACGTCTTGTCTCAGCTCATCTGTCAGGGTGAAAATTTTAAAAAGGGGTTATAATGATTCAGTTACATATAGGTCCATTCCCAAACCATACTTCAGCTGTCCAGTAATTGCACTGTTATGTACAGGAAGAAGAAAGCTACGAAACAAAACAAAATAAGTATTTCTCTTTTCGACAATTCACCCGCATTTGTCGGATAGTCGGACACATGCATGTCCTGCTGGCTTCTAGTGATGGTCAACATGCAAGGCTTCAGTCCGAGTTACAAGTTAGGCTTCCTTTATTTAGGAGAGTTTCCTTTGTGTCATTCATTTCTTGTCCTCTTCTCCTGAAACAAAAAAAAAAGAGAAGTATTGGTTAGTGCTCAAAGAAACTAGTTAGAGCAAGAGGCACAACAGAGCTAGACAACCATGGAAAGGGAAGGCAAATAGGCAGGGATCATTCATTGCTGCTGACAGGAGTCATGGGCAAAGAAAGGACAAGGACCATCCCCAAACCGCCAACAGATGAGAAGGTGGATGCCTCCAAGCAAGGAGCATGAAGCTCTGCTTCTGCTCTCAACATGGCTCGTACACTGCTGGTGGAGCTGTTTGACCCTGTGCCTGAATGGAATGCAGCCCTGAGCTCCTCAAGCCTCACAGAGCCTTCGGAGTTACCAATCTCCACTTGTTAGGGAGCTGTGCCCACAACAGCTGGTCTGTGCGAACAGTTGTCGACTCCATGTGTCCAGGGACCTCTGTGGTACACAGCTTGGGCACGGGCCAGGAAATGCACGTGTGCTCTGGCAAAACGAGGAGCATCTGTAGATCCCAGCTCCTGACCAAGGAGCGGAATCCCACTTGCCCCAACATGAGCCATCACCACAACCCTTGCTGCGGATGTCCAAGCAGAGAAGTCCCCAAGCTACTCTGAAGGACCACCACAAGGGAAGAAATGTAGAAGGTTTTTCACCCGAAGAAGGCCAGTAAAAATGTCATGACTCAGAAATAACTGAGGAATACAGCTCCTAAGAAACAGAACATCTTGTAAGAAAACAAGGCGTTGCTTGGGCATCTCTGGCAGCTGAGGAGTCCCCAGCAAAGCAACCAAGCAACAAAAGTCAGTTCCCTGGCTGGCCACTGCAGTTCCACAATCTACCGTATCTTGTGGTTGTGCAACCAGCTCCACGGGCAGGCACTGAGGGTGACACAGGGACAGGAAGGGGCACTGCTGTAGAACCAGCACCAATCGTTTAACCACAGCCTCAGGCTCCTCAGCCTCTCCAGATACTTTTGCAAATATTACTGTGAGCAAAACCACCCGAGTGCACAAGTTCTGAAAAGGCTTCAGCCGCGGTGCCAGCTCCCAGGAGGAGAGGGAAAGGGAAACGTGCTCACATCCCTCGGGATTGGCACAGTGGTGGCACTGAGCACTGTGCTCCCAGCCAGCCACAGCTTGGCTGTTCCCGCAGCCTGGTCCTGCGGCAGGTTTTCCTCTCGTTTCCCTCTGCTCTCCTGTTTCTTGCACAGCATGTACGGGGGAAAGGAAAGGGAAAGAAGGAAGGGAAAGTTAAACGAAAAAGGGAAAAAAGAGGGGAAGGAGAAAGAGAAAAGGGAAAAAAAGAGAAAAGGAAAGAAAAAAGAGAAGAAATAAGCCAGCGGAGCTGTAAGGTGCCATCTGGAGACCTGCACACGCCCAGGTCCCCCTCCCGGAGCGGGGACCACCGCTTTGTCCACACGGAGACCGCGCTGCTACAGCCACCTGCGTGGGCCGAGGACGGCTGGAAACCCGAGGTGCTGCAGCAGCACTGACACATGGGGCAGGTCTGCTTCAACACAGTGAAACGAGAGGGACGAGGAGGAGGTGCGGGGCAGAGGTGGCCACAGGGGCAGCAAGACAGCCTGGGGAAGCGGCTGCTGGCACACAGAGGGGACGAGCACTGACGTCAATCATAGTGACTTGTCTGAGATTTTTACCTTCCCGAAACCACTGGGAAAATAAGTTTTCTCCTTGCTTTTGGCACAGACCCCTGCAGACCTTCTTCCTGCATTCCACATGGCTGAGAGAGCGCAAATATACTTACTTAGATACACAGGGGATGGCAAATATTAAGAATTTCAGCTCAAGAAGTCCCTGAGGGTGGTCAGCAGCAGAAGCAAAACCCTCCTGAGCCTCCAGAACTTTGGAAAGACCTTGGAGAAAACCTCTGAGGTCCTTCCCCAAACACTCCCGGGTCAGACCATGCCAATGCCACTCAACCAGGCGCTCTCCTCCACACGCTCAACCACGCGCTCGCTTCGAGAACGCGGAAACCTCAGAGGGGCCCGAGACGGGTGCAGACGGTGATAAACGCGCAGTGGATGTCAGATGTGTGCAGAGGCACATAAAATACTGAGACTGGAGTAGAATCTCTAGAACCTCCACTTTGTTCCGTTTCAAGGGGAAACGAGAAAGAAAATCAACGGAAATGCAACTTATCTAGACCCGATCAAAGGAGAAGCTTTGTTATGTGAAAATAGAGTCAGCAGAACTCACAACTAGTAATCCGCACCACGCCTTAAGGATGAAGATTTGGCCTGAAGAAACAGCTAATGCTAAAGTGACAGAAATGCACCGAGTTTTTGGATGTGCTGAAGCCCTGGGCGACCTGCAGGGAACAGAGCAGGCAGCTGGGAACTCTGGGCCCTCCACTTGGACCTGTGCAGTGTCCCATGTCGGCAACCACCACCTAAGCATAGTCTCTTGCAGAGACTATGTTATGGCCTGGCTCCTTGTGCCTTCTGCCACATAAACAGCAGTTTCATGGGATTTTGAGACCTTCTTGCGAAGCAAGATGTGGGAAGCCACTGCTAGGAAGAGGATCCCTCATACTAGGGCACTTGTGAGGTGAAAGGATCAAGATTTTAATTTTATGTCTCTTCCCAAGTTGGCATTCAAGTGATGAACACTTAGGCACACTGATTTCTTTTAAGCAATTTTGGAAAGCCAGGCCTAGAGGCCAGGTTTTATCTTAATGGCCTATAATCCTTTTCATCTTCATGACCTTTGCAGTGCTATATTACCCATGCTGAGAGAAGAGCACACTCTGCCAGGCAATTTCCTTATAAATCTGACAGACACAGAAACTGAGGATCCTGCTTGGCAGTGAGTCCTGCAGCTACCAAGAAATCACAGAAAAAAACAGAAAGAATGGAACTTTGAGAGCCTCTACGCCACCAGCATCATAACCAGCTCCACCTGTGCGGCTCCTCATCAGCCCTGCTTCACAACCACCACCACCTCCCACACTTCCCTATGGAGGAAGACAATAAATCAGGGCCAAGAGGCACCCCCGGCACAGATATATTATCAGATACTTTTCAAAGGCACATTCACCCAGACTCGATCCAAGCAAGGCCCCACCACACATGACAAACTTTGGCAGCAGCACAAGGACATGGTACTCAAGGATGATGCACATAAGAAAGCCAACCCTGTTTGCTCTGGAGTCCTGCAGGTTTTCAAACGGTGCTCCCCACTCCACGTGTTTCCTACTGTCCTCAGAATTCCTGGCAAAAAAATCACAGTGTTTTTTGTTTTGTTTTTTTTTTAAGTAAATCTGCTCCAAGGTATTAGGAAGATGCAAGATTTTAATTTTTTAATTATGTCTTTCAAATGGGATGATTTAAGCATGATTTTTCCCTGTAGCTGTGATTAAAGAGCTGCATTGGAAACTCTTGGTGAATGAGAAACAGAGTGACCAGTTAGCATGACCAGCACCAGCATGACCAGCACCGTGACCGTGTGGATGGATGTGGCTCCGGGAAACAGGCACAACCCAAAAGCAGGAAATACTGTGAGTGGTATCATCAGATGTGAAAGGTGGCACGTGTTCCAGAAACCCCACTCTGCTTGGAGACGTAGGTACAGAGCAGAAGAAAAGTCCTTCTTCAAGAAACAGCTAGTTTTTAGAGAAATTAGCAAAGTGTGGGAGAAAGACAGGGTCATCCCCGCACCAGAGACAGTGAAGGCAAGACCAGGGGCTTCTGAGTGAGCAGGTTGTGCGGGGAGCTGAGGCCAGGGCAAGCCCCCAGCCCCATCCTGCTGTTCAGGAACATTCACACCATTTGCCTGGGTGCTTTGTGGTGGGGAAACACGAAGGAGAGGTTTGCTGGGACGCTGGGGCCCATGAGGAAAAAAAGCAAGACCTGTGAACTGCAAGGTTTAACTCAGCACAGAGATATCGCCCACAGCAACATCTTTTGCAAGAAATGCAAGAAAAGATGATATAATATTTTTCAGCAGGCTGTCTAAACACTCACTGTGATTTACGGCACAGAGCCCCATGGGGCACAGGAGCCCTGGCCCTGCTATAAACAGCCCTGGCCTCGTCTTGAGCTGCCTTCCTACCTCCGTCTGCCACCAGCCCGAGTCCTAATAGGGCCAGCCAATGGCAACACCTGCCAGAAACAGTTTTTAAGTTGTTTGCATGGTTTGGTCTTAAAATAGCCATGGCAAACTTGGCAGAAGGATGGCCACAGAGAGGTGGAAGATCCAGGAAAGCAGGAGGGGAGGATTCCTGTTAGCAACCAGCGTTTGCTTTGTTTTGCTTTAAATTTGGTTCCCAGAGATTCAAGAGGAGCTGGATAAACACACGTGGCAGATTTATCTGTTGTTCCAGCCTCTAGGGAATATTTCAAGCAGATTTTAATATCAACAGCGATGCCTGATGGGGCGGCCGGGAAGGAAGGGAGTACTGGGAGAAGACTGACTTTCACAGCATGCTGTGCTGGAGAAAGCAGACAATCATGCAGGGGGCAAACTTGGGCAGAAGGTGAACAAGGGGCCTCAAAGGCATCAAGCAAAGGCATCAACCCCAAGCAAAGCACCATGGAGCAAACACAGCATCAGGCAGCAGCCGTTGCCTTGCAGACCATGCTCACCGTCCAAGTGGTTGCGGGAAAGGTACTTGAGTCCTTCATCGAGCAGGATAACAGGCAGGGAAATTTTCAGTACAACCACCCACTGTGGCCAGCTCAGGGGGGTTACTTGGAAGATGAGCTGCAAGGCAGAAAGGATTTGACATGTTAATAGGGATGGAGAGAGGAGTTTTTGTTTTAAAGATCAGGTTAACTCCTGCTGTGTCACCACAGATGGTGGCAAAGATCAGTCTGGGTACAAGGATGGGGTCCAGAAAGATCAAGGAGTAGGATTTCTTTGAGTTCTGTCAAGATCAAAAGGTGGCTCCTGGCCAGGAGGAGTCAAAAGTGATGCCCCTCAGCTCTCCTGAGCAGATGGATAAAGTGAAGTCTGGAGCAGGGCTTTGACCATGTGCACAGAGGAACTAAGGAGCAGGACAGGACACACATGCCCATAGACACAGTGACCACCTCATCTCACTCATCCCGAAGCATCACCAGAGGAACCCCAGCACTGGACTGCAGAGGGAGGTGATGCCTCCAGAAAGGACTGAGCCTCTTTCTGGAGGCTTCTGTACCTCTTTGTGCTGCCCAGGAAGAGCTACCTCAAGTAAGTGTCTCACTGGGGCAGGATCAATCACGGCCCCCATGTCTCATGTCCTGGTCCTCTAGCACTTGCCAGGAAAAGTCATCCCGACAGCTTCCAGACACAAAGGTGCCAGGGGAGATGCTCATCCAGGGAAGGATCCTACCATGAGCTGTGCAGGGAGAGAGCACAGAACACTTACAGGCATGGGCTTGACGTAGAGGATGAGGAAGTGCAGGGCCATGGACATGACAATTGCCCCCAGCAGCCAGATGTTGAGCCACGGGGGCATCCGTAGCAGCGACTGGTTCTCAGACACGCTGTGAAAACAAAGGGACAGATGTTAGCCCAAATATCCTCTCTTTTCCACAAATGTGTCCAAGCTAGAAGGTTTCTACCTCTCTCCAGGATGCAAGGCTATGCAGTATAGACCCTCTTATACATTTCAAAGCTTCAGGCTTTGCCACAGTTCAGATTTAAACACCCATGTCAATATAGCCATCCACACACAGATCAGGACTGGATGTTAACATGGCAAAACTCTAGAAAAGGATGCAGATCTATTTATTCCTGTGCTGTTGCCTCATAACCACTAACAGCGACACATTGACTCAGAGAAATTCATGGTAAGCCAATGGTCCCCTGTGAGGTGACTCACAATGGCTCTGTTGAATCAAACCAAAGATCCTCCTCAGCCTTTCTCCATGTTCTGATACTGCCCACTCTGAAATACTCAAAGAATCCCCATGTGGAAGAGGTGAGGTAGAGAGCACACAGGACTATCCTGCAGCAGCCATACCTGTTCAGAGCGTTGCACATTTCGATTGTCACCAGCACAGACAGAGCCATAGTGGTTGGGTATCGAGACTCGAAGATTTCACAGTCAACTCCTTCAAAGATTGGGTTGTCCTCTGTGCACCTCATGAAGTTCCTCTGTCAGCACAGGAAACTTGTAAATACTTTGCAGAATAACTACCATGTAGAGAAGGCAGGAAAGAGGTAGAAGAGGTAGACTGCTTTGTGGGGAAACGTGGTAAACCATCCTTGTTAGAGTGGCCATCAATAGCCTATGGTTCAGAGCAACTGATAAAACAGTATGAAGCAATCCACCATTTGTTTTGATTATGGCTTTGCACAGTTATGTCTGGATAGTTGCTAGGAGATTTTTATGTGCAGTTAGTTGTGTGAATGAACATGCATCTTCATCAGCAATAGATCCTCCACTGCACAAGCCATTAGCAACAGAGCTGTGGTCAACCACATCGAATGAGGAGACAAGGCAGGATGACATGAATCTGAAGATGAATCCTTGATGAAAGAGCTAACAAGGTTGCAGCCAAGCCTAGACCTTATCTCCTTTCAGGGATCTTAAGCTCTAGCCAGAGTTCTGTAGCCTGGAGGCTGCAATCTCCTCCTGCTAACCCCTGAGCTTTGCTTTTCAGCAAGGGCATGATGGCACTCTGCTTCCTATTGAGCCATTCAGACCCTACAACCCTATGGTAGTGCAGTAATTGGTTCATTTTAACCTGGCATCAGATATAGGAGCTACTTCTAGCTTTTTTGGATAAAGTTCCCCTGTCTCCACTGGTTGCTGACTGAAACAAAGGAACATGGATCTCCGGGAGAACATCTGCTACGTTTTAAATTCGACTTTTCCATCAGGAATTGGGAATGTTATAATAAGAATAAAAAGAAAGGAGATGGAGGCAAGGGCTCCAGGACCTGAATCCAAGTCATTATGTGCTCGATATATCACTACTTTCCCAACTTACCAGTTGATAAAAGGAGACTTGTGGTCCTTCAGCATCATACAAGAACCACCAGGTTGCTGCCCCCACCGTCGCCAGGCCAACATACACTGCAGCCAAAGAGAGAGAAACTCTTACCACAAGCACTGTGGTTGCCACACTGTGAAAGTGTGAGGACCCACAGCCTGTCCCTATGATGGGATAGATACATCCAGCCCTTCTGGATGATGCAGCATGGGGCAGGACAGCCAGCAGGCCCCAGGAGGGGCATGAAGCTCATAGGCAGCAGGACATACAGCACACACAAGGACTCTCACCTCCGATGGCCAGATAGCGGAAGAAGAGCCAGCCGCTGATGAGAGGCTCCTTGGGGTTGCGGGGCAGCTTGTCCATGATGTCGAGGTCAGGAGGGTTGAAGCCCAGCGCGGTGGCCGGCAGCCCATCCGTCACCAGGTTGACCCACAGCAGCTGCACTGGGATGAGGGCCTCGGGCAAGCCCAGGATCGCTGTCAGGAAGATACTGCAGACCAAAGACCCAGAGAGTCCTAAATTAGATTCTGTCCATGTTTTACTGTTAACATTAATTTTGCAGGCAAAAACAACCTTTCCCAGTGCAGATATCCTTGCTGAATCGCTGGCACAAAGGATTACTAATTGATCCCTACTAGCCACAAGGTTGTGCCAAACTGTCAAAGAGGGCCCTGATTTACGGGGAGTTGTTTCACAGGACCAACAGGTGGACAGGAGCACTATACATCTCACTGCACTGGCTTTTGGAGGGGCAGACGTGTTTATAAAATTATGAAAGAATGGGTAATGGGTACAAACTGAAACACGAGAATCCATCTCCATGTGAGGAAGAACTTCTTTCCTTGAGAGTGACAGGCTACCCAAAGAGGTTGTAGAGTCTCCTTCCCTGGAGATCTTCAAAATCCTACTCAATGCTACCCTGTGCCATGTGCTCTAGGTGTCCCTGCATGAGCAGAAGGGTTGGCCTACATCTCTAGAGGTCCCTGCCAACCTTAACCACTCCATGATTCTGCAAAGAAGAAAATCTCTCTGTCCCTGGGAAACCAGGAAGGGCACCCAGCTCCAAATCTCCTGTTTGGCACCTGGGGTCAAGGGATATGTAGAGGAGAGGAGGACACAGCTGGGCCCTGCTTTGCACCCTAAAGGACACATCTCTCCTGCTATTTCCCCCCCTCCCTCAAGCTGAGGCTCAGAGGAATCAGGAAGCTCTCACCAAACCACCTCTCCAACGTTTGAGGAGATGAGATAGCGGATGAACTGCTTCATGTTGTTGTAAATGGCTCTGCCCTCCTCAACAGCAGACACGATGGTGGAGAAGTTGTCATCGGAGAGCACCATCTCGGCCGCTGACTTGGCCACGGCGGTGCCGGAGCCCATCGCAATGCCGATCTCGGCCCTCTTGAGGGCAGGCGCGTCATTCACGCCGTCGCCGGTCTGAACGAAGCGTGTGGTGCGTGTTAGAAGGACAGAAGGAAACAGGCTGGGCACAAAGACAAGCTTCAGGCATGGAAAAGCAGGCTTGGCCCACTGAGATGCAGTCGCTCAGCCTGGCATCTCGCTGGGCTGGCACCGGTGCAGGACTCACCATCGCTGTGATCTCGCTGAAGGACTGGAGGTACTCGACGATCTTGGACTTGTGCGCGGGCTCGACGCGGGCGAAGCAGCGGGCCGTGCGGCAGGCCTGCCGCTGGGCCTCCGGGGACAGGTCATCGAACTCCCGGCCCGTGTAGGCCTTGTCCGTCACGTCCTCGTTCTCCGAGAAGATGCCGATCCTCCGGCAGATGGCCACAGCCGTGCCCTTGTTGTCCCCCGTGATCATGATGACGCGGATGCCGGCTTTGCGACACATCTCGATGGATGAGGTCACCTCCTTGCGGGGGGGATCCAGCATCCCCACGCAGCCCACGAAGGTCAGGCTGTCCTGATGGCAAAAGGAGAGGAGGGGGATTAATCTCCACAGGCTTCCTTGGAGATGGAGCCACCTTCTCTTGCCACCTCTAAATCACACCATGCACAGGTAGGCAAGGATGCTGGAGGATTTTCCCTGCAAGGAATCAGGTCTTGCTCCCCAGTAAAATCACTGGGAAATTTCCTACTATCTGCAAAGAAGGAAGCTAAAGCCTCTCAGATACATCCTGCTCCATCAGACACCATTACCACTACAACCCACTTGTAGGGAGATGCTAAGGTGCTTAGCTGCTTTTCACTTTATTCTTCTCATCCTTGCCCTTCATGGCAGCCCCTGAACACATCTTGCAACAGCCGAAAGCCCCAAGATCAGCAGAGCTTCTCCCCTTAATAAAAACCTAACCAGGGAGGCAAGTGCTTAGGGGAGAGGGAATATTCCTCTTGGGACTAGCTCATCACTAGTAGATCTGCAGTCAGGTTGGAAGAGAGAAGTTGAACTACTGGCCCACTTGGATTCCCAAAGAACCAGGGAGCCTATGAGAAACTCTGCTAGGGCAGTGGAATCGGTGGAACAGGCAGTTTTGGCCACTAAGGAAAGCTGCTGCAGCCTCTGTTACCTCGTAGCAGACGAACTTGGTGGAGTCATCCAGCTCCATGGATTCCTTCTGGACAGGGTTGTCATTGGTGGCCAGGGCCAGGCAGCGCAGCGTGTCCATGCCCATGCCCCAGTCGCGGACTCGGGACATGATCTTCTCCCGGACGGAGGCGGCCAGCGGGACCCTGGCCGTGCCCACGCGCACGTAGCTGCAGCGCTCGATCACACTTTCCGGGGCACCCTAAGGAGTCAGAGAGGAGCTGGCCTAAGTGGGGCCCAAACACCCCAGGCCTCAGATAACATCTTGTGAAGAGGCAAAATTCCCTGAGTGCCCCAGAAATCGTTTTGTGCATCAACCAGACCTCAGTCTTGACCAAGATCTTGCAGATAGATCTTGCACTTGTAGATGAGTGCAACCAAGGAAGGCAGCGCGTGGAGTGCATGGGCTCTCCCTGCAAAGGCTGTTGAGACAGCGAGCTTCATGCGCTCAGTCTGCACTAGATGGCACCCTCAGCCACAGCACCGCACGGCCTCCGGTGCTGAACTCTCTTCAGGTCACTGAACTGGCCTTAGGGTGAATCCATCTCACTCCTTTGGACCTACAGGCCTTCAGGAGTTACTCACAGAGGACCTATTCCATCCCAGGTCTGAAGGAAGAAAGGAGAGCAGGTCTCCTCCTCCAACCAGGAGAGGATGCTGGCAATGCCTGTATGATTTAGGAACACACATCCCAGTGTACTTTCATGCCTCGGCACCAAACTATGGCCCCTCTGACTCTACTTTTGACTCTGGCCTCTTTTGAATCCTGAAGGACACTCAGGATTCCTCTAGCACTGCACTCACAGGACCATACGCAATCCCATAGATTCAAGTCTGCAGTTCCAGCAGCTTTCAGATAACCCTCACCTGACTGACAAGACAGAGTTCATCCAGAAGGGAACAACAACAAGCGGGAACAACAAGTGGGAACAGCAACATACAAACCTTCTCAGAGACTGTAGGGGGAAATTCCTGCCCCTTCTCCTCTGTTCGTTTCTCTCAGGAAGAAAATCCTTTTAAAATACTATTTTATTTCTGGTTATAGCAGAAAGTTGAGTGCAGTCCCTTGTGCACTGTCAGAGTCAGAGGGTACAACCCATAAGTGCAAGTGCCCACATCTTCTGAAGGGGCTGCTCCTGCTTGCCGCAGCATCCTGCACCAGGAGATCCAGTTCCTTTCCTCCCTTCTTGTTCTGCACAGGTTCCCCTCTTATCTGCTCACATCAGTTTACCTGCTGACTCTTGGACCCCTGCTCAGCTTGTGGAGGACAGAAATGAAGTGGCCAGAGAGGTTGGATTATGTCCCAAACCACCACATGCTCCCGGAGCTTCTCCTGCCCCACATCAGCATTTTCCAACTGCCCCTTCATCTGACTGAGCTCCACTCATAGGACCTCTATGCACACACAGGGCTTTCTTGGTGTGAGGAAACACCAGCCTCCAAGGGCTGAAAATCCCGTTTTTTCCCATGAGCAGAGCCTCACCACCTTCTCCAGCGTGAGCAGGACCTCACCTGGCTGCATGCAAGGCTGGGGGCAGGAGAAAGGGGCCAACACCCTCAAGCAGGCCAGGACAACCTCAGCCCCTACCTTGACGAACATCTTGGGGCCGGCGGAGTTGTGGCTGGTGCCGATGGGGGTGCAGTACACGGACATGGACTTGCGGTCGCGGGAGAACTCCAGGGTGCACTCCTTCTTCATCAGCTGCTTGATCACCTGCGAGGAGAGGCAGAGGCTCAGCGGCCTCCAGCACGTGGCTACTGGAGGGACAATGTGGGGACGTGCACGGACACAGCCACCCCTTTGCAAAGGCAGTTGCAGCTGCCGTCACTGGGAGGGGAGCACACGCACACACACCCACTCACACCTCCCTACACCCACTGCAACCACCACACCACAAACCAGGCTTGTCACACTTGCTGCTATTAATAGTGTAAGGAGCCAAATATCTAGCGAGATGCTCATGAGACCTTGTGAGACCTCATGACCATCAAAGATTTACACCCATGTTCACGATGAGCCCCCTCTCTGGGAGGACACATCTTGTCCCAGAAAAGTCCTGTACTGAGCAGGACACTCGGGGCTGATTTGAAGTACATTCTGCAGCGGGGATGTTAAATAACTATCTTGATTGCTTGAGACTCTTTGTGGTTGAATTGTTCACACAATGGTTATTGTGGAGGAGGTTGGTTGTGCCAAGGACACCAACAGGATCGGGGCAGGAGCTCTGCTCAGCTGGCAGTGACCTCAGGACGCTCTCCAGCAGTGGATAAATCCCTGGAAAAGCGGCACCATGAGCAGATGCACCCTGGCAGGAGAGGACAGCATTGGGGAGGGAAGGGCACAGACTGTGGACGCTCAAGAGGATGAGCTGAGGCTGCAGCAGATGCAGGAGAGCTCCGGCAGCAGCTGGTTGATCTTATCAAGAGGTGCAGAAAGAGGTTGCCTTGTTCAACCATGCAAAACGCAGGCAGATCCGACTGCCATCTACAGACACGTGAGGGCAAACACCAGGGCAAACACCACGGGGCTCGCTAAGCAAACTGCAAAACCCAGCACAGGAGCAAAGGGAACCGCAGCCAACACACGTGGGCAGGAAGCTTTGTAGCCACACCGCAATGAAGTTTGGAGGTTCTCAGTCACAGGAGGCTGTGACAGCATCCCTGGCTGGGTTCAGACACGGGGCTCTCTGCCACCACCACCTGGGGAGCAGCTGCTGGGACCCGCAAGGCTCCTGAGCACTAAAGCAGCGGTGGATGCGTTTCCTGGGTGCCCAAATCAAAAAGCAGAGAAAGGGAATCGACCCCCACTAGGACAGAGCAGGGCTGGGCATCTACGTGGGAAGACAGCAAAGCCACGTGCAGCAAAGCAGAACTACAGGGCTGAATAAAGGCCGAGAAATTCCCTTGCACTTGTCAGAAAGGGATGAACTACTTTTTTTTCTTCCTGCTTGCAACTACCCAGGGAACAATTTTTACAACAGAAGACACCTCCATCTAGCAGGTAAAAGTGTTAATCTAACAATGTGATATCAAAGCTGCGTAAATCTAGACTTGAAATAAAGAACATTTTAACCAGAGGGATAAGGACACACTAGAGAGCCATAACAGCCATCACTGGATATTTCAGATTAAACGCAGATATATGTTTCCAAAAAGCAAGTCTAGTTCAGCGGGAATAGTCTGGGCTCGTGTTGTGCAGCTTGTCTGCTCAGATGGTCCTGTGGGGGCCTCCCAGCTTAGCAGTCCATGAACCTCTGCCAGTGCAACTGGAGGCAACTACTGTACCCTCTGCTCCGCAGGGCACATCCCTCTAGAGCAGCAAGTCAGTGCTCAAATATTTAATGGCTGTTGGGAAGCCCCATCATGAAGTCCCTCCCCATGGCGCAGCCCGGGGCTGCTCACCCTGTTGCAGGCATTGGCTCGCTCCACCTTGGACAGCTTGCTGGTGTCCGTGTTGAAGACATTCATCTTCTCCACCAGGCATGTCAGGGCCGTCTCTGTGGCTTCTCCCACCTTCTCGTAGACTTTTTTTGTCTGCAGAGTGGAAAGAAAGCCACGCTCAGCTTCAAACGTTGGCACGAGCAAAAAGCTGCAAAAGGTTCTTGGGGCACGCGAGGGCCGGCAGCTCCGCTCACCTCGTTGTAATCCAGCGAGGAGTCGTTGCAGAGGGCGCAGATGGTGGCCAGCTCCACCAGCCCGTCATACTGCCCGCACTCCACGCGCTTCTCGTCCTTGAGGCTGCGGAGAGAAAGCGACGGCTCAGAGCCCCCAGCGGCACCGCGCTGCAAGTTAAACTAACAGCCAGTGTCTCCCGAGGAAGCGCTGCAGGACGGCAGGGAAATTCCTGCTGTGCTGGGGCTGCACCCAAGCACGGGGCAAGCGCAACCCTGCAGTGGGCAGCTCATGGACAGCAGCTCTTTGCTAGCAAAAGCTGCTGCAAACAGCAATGCTCACTACACCCCCCTGGCCAAGGCTGGCCAGGCTGGCTGCTGATGAGACTTGCAAGGATGAAAGAGGATTTTATGGGAGCTCTGAAGTTCCCTGGCCTTTGTACAGCACCAGGATTTCCCGCATGGGGATACAAAGGGGATCTTTAGGTCTGAACTATTTGGTGCTCCCAACCTTAAGGATCCAAGCACTCTGCAAGGGAGTCCCACACATCGGCCATGGCCACCCCACCAAGGGACCAGAGGCCATTCCTCATGCCAACCTGCCCACAGCAGAAAGGAGAACTTTTCTAGGGGGCTTTGGGGGCAAAACAAGAAATTATTCTAACTCAAGGAGAGGTAACTGCAGGTTAGAGCTCTGTAAGCCCTGCCGGCCATCAGCTCGCTGGAAAAATAATCTGTCAGCCATTTATTAGGATCGGTTTATTCCACTGCTGGTTCCCAATGGAAAGAACATGTTGGAGCCCTTGTTACAGCTCAGGAGCGGAAAGCAGGGAGCGGCCAAGAAAATCTGAAAAATCTGTTTGCACAGGGACAAAGAGCGGAGCTGTTCAGATAGAGGACGAGAGAGCGGCCGCCATGGCCCTGTGAACTGGACAGGACTGGGCAGGACGCAGGGAGCTCGCAGGGGCCGGGGGGCGGTTTCCTGCACCAAAAGGCTTAACAAATCCCAGGAAAGGCTTAAATCAGCCCTCCCATCCCTGCAGCCCCAGGTAGGAAGGAGCAGGATTTCTGGGGCAAGGACTAAGCAAGCCCTCGCATCCTGCTTGGATGTGGCAGGTGAGGACGGAGCTGAAACAACACTTGGAAGCAAGGGGATCACTGCAGGGCAGTGCACGGCTCCCCTGCACACAGGGTCCTGAAGGACAACACAGAGATTGGGGCTTTAGCAGATGTGCGTTCAGCTCCTCGGTCCCCTCGGTTTAATTGAGACACGCTGATTAATACCAGCTTATGACCTGGCTCATTTTTTCATGGAAATTTCTATCCCGGGATCAAGCTGGCTTTATAAATATTCATGAATTAAGCCTGAGGCTGGGATGAATTACAGTCCTCAGCAGATGAGCAAAAGAAACCGCGGGGAAGAACTTGTCTGTGAGTGGGAAGCAAAACCAAGTGTCACCCACCCGCTCCTCTTGCCTGCCCTTTCCGTCCTCTCCTTCCGAGGTTCCTGTTGTGCCCAAGAGCATTGTGTGCCAGGGAGTGCCAAGGGGCTGGGAAGCTTCTGGCCCCCGAAAACCCTTCCTAGGTTTCATGCAGACAGGCAGGCAGGGTCGGGGATCGGCCCCTTGCTGAGCCAGCGTGGCCAGCACTGAGCTGTGGAAGGCAACAGCAGAGCCAGCTTGGTGGCAGTGACACAAAACCCACGAGATGCCCTATGTGCAACGCAGCAGCACAGCAGCTTGCTCTCCTGGGAGAAAAAGCTGTAGTTCCCTCCAGGAGCAGTGCAGGGATGCCTGGCCTGACTCAGGAGCACACTCAAGGAAGAAGGAGCGATGGAAGGAGCTCCTCACATCTGCAAGGTCCACACAGCCCCACCTACAGCACAGAGGAGCTCCGCAGAACATGACCCAGAACCTCTCTGAGAAGTAAAACCACCAGAGGCACAACCACATCCAATTGCAGCACTTCTCCTTTCAGGAGGAGTGGAATAAACACTGTCAAAAAAATTAAAAAAACAAAACAAAACATGTTTTACAATACATCGGGGAGAAGTCACTGGCTCTCACTCGCAGCGCTAGGCTGCGATTCAGCAGAGCCCACGTTTGCCAGGCAGCACATCTGAGACTCCTCGACGTCGACGGGACTGCACGCCAGGCTGCACTGGCCACCAGGCCTGGCTTTGCTGAGGACCCTGGCGTTGGTGAGCACGTCCCACGCCAGGTCTGCAAGCCCAGCACAAGGACCTGTCTGGCTGGGCGATGGGGCTGCTGGCCAAGCTGTCAGACCACCGGGGGGGGGCTGCACGCAGGTGGGAGGAACGGCGACCACTGCATGTGCAAAGGTGTGGCCCTCCAAAACTTGGAAAAAGGATTTGGAATGAGCACACACCATGGAAAACCTTATGCAGCATTCAAGTGTTTCCGCACTTGATGTTTCCATCTGCACTAACCTCTCTGGTTCAAGAATGGGCTCCTTTTGTTGTTGTTGCTTGTGAAGGAGAGCGAAGAGTCGCACCAGGACCCCAGCTCTGCGTGCCAGGAGCCCTGGCCCTGGGCAGACAGCAGGGCTGGAAGACAGGGCAGCAGGAGGCATCTCCCACGCTTCATGTGGAGCACAGGCTGGTGATGAACTCGGTCCCACGGAAAACATGGGCAGCCCTGGACATAACTAACATCTGTAAGGTGGCCCTGCCACCAACACAGGCTTGGAAACAGCATTTCCAAGTGCAACGTTCAGTGTGGAGCAAACCCACACCATGCTCCTCCCTCTCGCTGCTCTGCCTCCACAGCCCCACGTGCGCTGGGGCCGGCAAGCACCCTGCATGGGTCCTCCCAGCACCGAGTAACGCCGTTTTCCCAGGAAAGTGGAGGGCAGCAGTGGTATTGGGACACGGTACTCACATCTCTCCCTCGGGAGCATAGGTGGAGCCCGTGATGCTGAACTCGTGCAAGCTGCACTCGGAGCCCTTCACTTTCTCCATGATGAACATCTGCAAGAAGGAGAGATGGAAACAGTGCATTAGGCATCTTTTCCCCTGTTAGGAGCTATGGAACTGGCGCAGAGCCCTGCAAGTTGCCATCCTCTCATCGATGGAGACAAGCCTGGTGCCTCCCTGCCTTTTTTGCCTCCCCTTGGTCTCCTGTCCCATCAAAGAGTTGTCCCCAGGCAGCTTCTAAGGAAGGCAGCTGCTGGCATGGCACAGGGCAAGGTGCAGGTGCTGGTCCCGAAGCATCAAAACCATCTGCTGGCTCCTCGTTTCCAAACGCTGCGGGGTGCAAAGCAATGCGCGCTTCCACAAGAGCAGCTGTCTTATGAAAGCTAACAGCTTCGGGGCCCTTTTTTCCACGCCTATTTAAAGATAACTTAAAAGGCTGTTTTGCCACCCGCGGCGCCCCCGGGTGACCCGGTTTCCTGCCGGCTCCGCGGCATGCCCGGCCAAGCACGGGCTGCCCGCGCGGGGACTTGGCGCCAGCAGCCGGCAGGGCAGGTTCGCAGGGGCGAGAGCCGCAGCGAGGCCGGGCAGCACTTCCTTTCCTAAAATAACAGCCAGAGCAGCAATTCGGAGGGAGACACTGAACCCATCCTGGGCAGCGGCTCCAAGGGACTTTTTGGGGAGGCTCCTGGGGTGGAGGCGGCCGGGGAAACCTCCGGCGGGGCCGTGCTTCCCTTACAAGGCCCAAGGGCGAACACTGGCTCCAGTGTCAGGCAGCGGAAACCGCTGGCACTGCACCAGCTTTCACTCTAGCAACAAGCCTCTGCCTTTAACCCTTTCAAACCATCCCAGGATGTATTATTTTTTTTTCTTCATAAATGCAACAGGGACATCTAAAGAAAACCTGCTAAAACCTACTGCAAGGCAAGTATAAGCTGCATGGCAGACATAGAGCTGTTTGTCAGATCATGTTTATCAGATTTTCACTGATCAAGCCATGCACAGAGCAGCACCGCTCTGCCCTCCACACTGGACCTCAACCAAGGCATCCGACGTGACAAGAACTGGTGGCTGGTCCCAAGGGAAACCCCGAGCAAGGAGGACTTCCATGTCCAAGCGCCCGGATTTATTCTGGATAGACCCAACTGTTGAACCAGCCTGGGCTCTTGCAGACAAGCGAGCGCGCAGCTCCTGCACAGCTCCAGTTCCTGGATGGATCAGGATCTACTGCAAGGATCCCGGTGGGAGAGCAAAGCTGGTGCAGAGACTGCATCTCCTTCCGAGCTTTGCAAACGGCATCCTGTCTTGCCTGGAATTTTAAGTAACAGGTTCCGCACACTGACTTTCTTGAGAGTGCAATTTAGGCTGAACAGCAATCTCAAAAACAGCTGATGGAGGGCAATGCTGGGAGCTTCATCCAGCAGTATTAACTTACTGCACGGAGCCTGCAGGCTTCTCATAAAAAGAGGAAGTGACCTACAAGGACAGGGCTGAAACACTTCTCGTCCCCTTTGTCTGCTTGCTAAATAGACCCATGGGTGACACAACAGATGGTCTGGAGAAGGCCACTTCTTGCACAGGGTGAATTAGCTGAAATGCATCAGCCCCATGAATGGACCCGCTCAACTCCAGTTAAAGCAGCCTTGACTTGGCTTAACCCAGTTCTCTTTCATGCTGAAGAACCAAAACCATCTAATTTTTAAGCATCCACGCCAGAGCTCAAGGTGCTTTGAGGTAACTCGCGGCACAGGCACCACCAAACAAAGCCAGGTAGGTGGGAATAGCGCGGTCTCCTCATCCAGGAAAGACTTGGAGGTGGCGGCAGCAGAACCACCCCAGGATCCAGGATCAGGGAGTTTTTCTGTGCGTTTTTCCAGGATATCAGCAGGCTTCTGCACGGCTCCCAGCCGCTGAGCCGGGCGCCTGGGGCAGGCACGACCGCCCAGGGCAAATATTTAACCACTCGCCAGTGGCAAATCCGCCAGAGGTATCCGCATCCCTTCCTTACCGGTCACTGGGAACTCCCCAGGGTTAACCATTAACAGGCTCCCTTTGTATCCTGAAGCCAGGCAGGCTTTGAGTAATGTGCTCCGAGAGTGAGTCGGGATGTGGCCAGCTGAGCAAAACGGATATCAGAACGGGGGGGACAGGGCGGAGCAGAAATTGCAGGGCTGGATTTCCAACCTCAACGCGGGCCAAATTTGGGCTGAATTCTAGGAAAATGAGGATTGATGAGACAGCGTGCTTGCTTGCCGCTGCCCTGCTCGCTCTCCCCCTTATCCCCTCTCCTTTTCCTTGCTTAGTTAATCCCACCTTTTCCGATGAGCAGGAGTTGACAGGACTTTTGAATTCCCAGTGGGCAAAGAGCAGCTCTTTGGTGGGCAGTTTGGGGAAGACTCTGTCATGTTTCACTTCTGTTTCTGAAGCTCCCGGAGCTGTGGAAACCCCAAACGAGGGGGTAACCCCTCACTCGCTTCCCCAGCAGCAGCGGAGCAGCACTCAGACTGTCGTGAGCACCCTAGAGTGAAAACCCTAAAGAGTCACAGGGGGAAAGGAGGAAGGAATCGGCGGTCGGCCTGAACACCACTCTCTGGTGTTACTAGCCAAGTTCCCGGAAACAACTTCTGCTGCCCACACGAAGCATCTGATAAGGGGGAGGCCCCGTTCCGCACGGCCGCGTGCTCCGCTCCAGCATTAGGGAAATTGGAAGAATGGCGGCACAAGAGGAAGCGCCTGCCAGGCGCGGGCTGCCTCCAGCTGCGCTCCAGAGGCTCCAGGGGGAGAGGGATGGCTCCTCTTCCACCGCGGCTCACAGGATGGCGACAGCTTGCGGGATGCTCCAGCAGCGTCTCCTCTTAAATCACGGCTAGGAACAGCCAATGCTTCCAGTCACTTGGAGTCTCTCCTTTCCAAACGCGTGGCCCACGCTCTGCCCATGGGGTGGTCACTGCGCTGCACGTTGCTACCCAGTTTTTGGAGGGACGGGGGCCAGGTCTCTTTTTCCCCTTGGTGACACATTTTCCAAGGTTCCTTTACAAAACTGAAGCGCCAAGAGCATGAAAAAGAAAGCTTTCCTGAGACTCGAGGATTAATGGGGCAATTGAGAAGTCCTTGGATTGTCTGGTCTTTCCTAACAAATCATCTTCCTCCACAGCCAAGTGAATCCAGCTTCAAAGTGGGCTGAGGCTCTTCTAGACTAGAAGCCTTGTGGTCTCTCAGCCAACTTACCCTAGTGCTCCCTCTATAATGAGCGTTTTTCACCCCAAACTCAGCTACACACACAGTACCACAAGACTACGATTGCAAACTTTCCAACGACCACGCCCGGGGAAACAAATCATGGTTTAACCAGGTCACATCAACTTGCTTCCAAACCCTGCATGTCTCAGTGGCTGCTCTTTGTATATAGCCAGGGCAGAAAGTCCCATCAAACCTCCAGTTTCAGTAATTAAGTCTCTATAATTTTGTATGGTTCGGAACATCTTCCTGGCTTGGTCAAAAACAAGGAGAAAATAGTCAAGAGAGGAAACTAGGTGCTGATCATGCTGGGTTCTCTGGGAGCTCTATTTTCATGCTGATTCCCAGCAGGAAGATGTACTCTCCACCAAGACAGTCAGGAAATATGCCTGCAAAACCACACCACCCAACCGGCGCGTTTGTAAGAGGTAGTGAAAAAGCAAATTGCTAATTACAGCCCATGCAAAGATAAGCAAACGAGCCATTCCATAATGGTGGTCAGGCAGAAAGAGAAGATCAGGGTTTCTTACTGATTCAACACCAAACAAAACACTTTTCACGCTCACCTTGACATTCCTAATGCCCAAAATACTGCATTGCCCGGGGAGAGAAACAAGTTGTAGCTTTGCAACACCCTGGCTCAAGCTGGGACCGAACCCAACTTATCCCCAAGAGCATCAGCACCCAGAAGCTACCGTTGCTACTCACCTCGAAATGCAGCCCACCCTGCAGCCCCCGCACTCACCCGGCACACGGACATCTGGTTGGTGGTGAGGGTGCCTGTCTTGTCGGAGCAGATGACGGAGGTGCAGCCCAGGGTTTCCACGGAGGGCAGGCTCCTCACGATGGCGTTTTTCTTGGCCATGCGGCGCGTGCCCAGTGCCAGGCACGTGGTGATGACCGCGGGGAGGCCCTCCGGAATGGCAGCCACTGCCAGGGCCACCGAAATCTTAAAGTAATAGATGGCGCCCCGAAACCAGGAGCCGCCGTGGACGGGGTCGCTGAAGTGGCTGATGTTGATGACCCACACAGCTATGCAGACCAGGAAAATGACCTTGGAGAGCTGCTGGCTGAACTCATCCAGCTTCTGCTGCAAGGGGGTCTTCTCGGGCTCCGTTTCAATCATCTGGTTTCTGATCTTCCCAATCTCAGTGTAGACTCCGGTAGCAATGACAATGCCAACAGCCTTCCCTGCTGCGATGTTGGTACCCTGGGAGGGAGAAAAGGACAGGCATGAAACCTCAGAGATAGAGGTGGGAAACAAGTCACTTTTGAAAGGAGACCATGGAATCTTGATAATAAAAAATCAGCCATTGCAGCTCCTGGGTTTGCCCCTGACACCAGTCACAGACTAACAAGTCTGTTATCCTCCAGGCTTATCCTCAGCTGACGAGAACCAGCACAATTCTGTCTGTTGGAGCTCTCCCTTACTAAATTCATGCATAGTTCCCAGCCTTGAATCTCCTATGACTGGGAAAACTCACTTGGCCTATGTACTAGACACATGAGCCCATGAGCAAATCCTCAAGTTAAATTGCTCCACATGAGATCCCAGGCCCCTCATGCACACACATGTGCTCCCAATGGCTTACAAGGCTAAGCAACACTGACAAACTCCAGTTTTGGTTAGAGAGGAATGAACTTCACTTCCAGACTCAAATTCCTACAGAAGTAATGAGCCCTCACAATCAAGATGATTTATTTTTCGTGACATGATCCTTCCTAACAAGAAACAAAAGGCAAGGCTCAAATATACTGACAATGCAGTGGGTGCAGATCCATGGTCACAGTCATCTGCTCCACGAGAAACCTGGCAAAAATCCCCCTTAAACCACTGTGCCCATCACGGAGCAGTAATTCCCTTTTAGCACCCACCACCCAGAGATGTCCCCTCCCTCTAGACAATCAGATTTGCAAAAGCACATGAGAAGTGGTGACAGGCACGAGGGACTTACGGAGAAGAGCATGTTCTTCTTGTCCTGGTTGACGGCTCGAGGGTCAGGGATGGGGTCAGTATGTTTAATCACCGACACGGACTCCCCTGCCAAGACAAGAGCAGGAAGATGAACCATTCACGTGTCCTCTCCAAACGTTTTTACCGGACTGGAGCAGAAACTCCACAGCTTACAAAAACCTGTGCTTGGCCACAAAAATCATCAAAATATTCATCGTGGAGATGTCATAGACAGTGACGTTGAAGGTAACGGTTGCAGAAAAACAACTAGTTGAATTCCGTTAAGATCACCATAGCTAATGGCCCTTGAGCTGACAACGTATCCGATGGGATTGGGCCAGATTCCCAAGCCAGGAAGGCAACTAGGTGTTAGCATGGGCTTGCAAGCTCAAGACTCTTCCCTGTCAACTTTATAGCATCCCCTCTCGTCTCTCTCCACTTGAGGAAAAATCCTCTTTTGGTCCTAGGATTGAAACCACAAGATCCCTCTTCTCCACAAATAAACCTCCAAGATGCATACACACAATTGCCATTCTATGCAAACCTGGGATTCTTAGGACACTACAGGAGAAAAGGTGCCTAAAGTCCTTCTCCTGATGGTTTATGTTTTGTCAGAGATTTGTTCTTTTGCTCCATCTGCTCTTGCCCTTGGAGAAAGGAACAAAGTTAACACAAAGCCATGTTTCAATGAGACTTGGCTCCTTTCCCCATGTTTTTAATGTCTTTTTTTTTTCTTTTTCCTTCCCTGCTGCCATCTCCTAACTTAATGACTTTGAAAATCATGCAAAAATGCTGAAATCCTGAAAGCCCTTTTTGCTGCTTGGTCCTTCATTGCCCTTCTCAGCAAAGAAAAAGGGATCCGAGCGGCCTCCCCCTGACAGTAGGAGACGGGCTCTTTGGAACATGACAGGTCACCAGCTTCACCTGCCTTTCCAGCACAGAAAGCTTTGTGTTTGTGGGAAGGAGGCAGCACCACCTGCACTCATCTTGCCTGGGCTCTGAGCTTCAGCTAAGATGCCAGGACCTCCCAAATGCTGAAGCTCATTCTTCCACCATGGCAAAATGCTCAGTCCAGTGTCAGCTCTGAAAGTTTGGGTCAGGCTCCCTGGCATGTTTGCCCACGTCACCTGTACCTGTGAGGATGGACTGGTCGACCCGCAGCGTCGTGGACCTGATTTCAATGATCCGGATGTCGGCTGGCACCTTGTCACCAACTACATGGAAAAGAGCACAAAATGTCCGTGGGTTAAATCCGCAGTGCTCCCGGCGCCAGCACAGGCATTGGGAACACCCGGCCTGGGATGTGAGCCGAGCGCTGCCCCACGGCTCAGGACACATGTGCCAGTGGTTGCATCCCAGTTCCTGGTCCCTTCCCTCTTCCTCTATTTCGGCTGTCAGGTCTCCAGGACAGGGCCTGTTTTTGGCTAGGTTTTGGGAAATGCCAAACGTGCAGATCTAGCCCAAGCTGGTGGCACCCAGCCTGCTGCTACAGGGAACCCGGCTCTTGGTGGTTTCTGTCCACTGCTCCTCCTTTCTGGAGTTAAAGCTTGCTTTGTTGGTCTGTAGCTTACACAGCAAAAAAGCAACAAGGTAGAGAGTGGTGCAGTCAGCTGCAATTGGATAATGGACAGTGCAGCAAAGGACTTTGCAGCATTCCCAATTTTAATGCAATTACCTGGGATAAAAGCAGAAGCTCATGGTGTGGCAGGCGCCTCCCCACTCCATAGACCCACCGTGTGCTTGAAACTTCCTCTCCCCGTGCCAGGCCCAGCCGAAAGGGAGCAGTCTGGGGGTGCACAGGGAACCTACTCAGCTCAATAAATCCCACCATAACGTGAAGGTTATGGAAAGAAGAGCCCAACTGTCCCTTTCTTGAGCAAGTGTTTCATCCTCTCCTCTGCAGGGGAGACTGCACGCTGCCTCTGTTTCGGCGCAGCGAGGTCCAGTGACAGATGCACCACGAGCCCTGCTGAGTGCATAGGTACTTTCTTAAAATCTCTCAAAAGCTGCTTTTCCTACAGGGTTTCTTTCTCCCAGTGCTCGGACACGCACTTGCTCTTCCCGCTGTTCCCTTGCCCTTATCGCTCGGCCATTTGGAAGCGCGGAGGCCCGCGGAGGCCACACACACCGCTGGGACCTCAGAACCTCGGCGTGCGATGGTCCTGACAGCGACGTTTTGCAGTGTGCTCCCCATGGAACCCGCAGCCCCCGAGCTGCACGCCGGGATGGACCAGCACGATGGCTCCAGGCAGGCGGTATTCCAGTTGCAAGCACCACCCTGCGCTGAGCCGGCTGCCACCAGCCACTTGGGAGCCCCGGAGCGGCCTCGCCAGGGCAGCGAGGCCCCCTCCCGCGTGGGAAAAGCAGAGGGAATTTGCCAAGCAGGCGCCGTTTCCAAGCCTGCAGGTTGCACACGCGCTGACAGCATCTCAAGGGAGCGTATCGGAGCCGGGCGCCCTGGTGGTGCAGAGGCTCTCAAGGGCAGATAGCCCGATAGCAGCCGGAGAGTGCGGCACAGCTCGTGCCTGGCTCTCCAGCCTCCCTGCTCCCGAGTGAGGAGAGCAGCGGATCAGTCCACTTGTGCAGCTACTCTGCTTCCCAGGTCCCTTCCCGATCCTGAACGGCGGTTGCAAAGCCTGGGGCCAGGTCACCAGCTGGAGCTTGTCCCTGGAGTGGCAGCTGGAGTGGCGCCAGGTTCCCCAGCTGAGGGCCTGGCCACGGAGCCGTTCTTGTGTCCCCTGTGTGTTATTTTTACATGCATCTTCCAGATGAAGAGCAACTGGAAGACATAAATAATGGCAAGCTGGCGCCGCACGCCAGGAATTGCAGCTTGTTTCCACTAGCGGGGCCACGAGTAGGAAGAGAGTGGATTAGCGCGAGGCATCTGGACGCAAGGAAACCCGAGCAGCCGCTTGCCGAAACGCGGCGCTTCCGTAACGTGCAGGTGGGAAAGGCTGCGGAGCCCTGGACACCCATGGGGCTCCCAAGGGAACCTGTGTCACCGGTTAAGGCCTTTGCCAGCCCTCCTGTCCCTGCTGTGAGGGGACGGTACCAACTTGGCGCTACCGCCCCGGGACACCTCGGTGCTGAACTGCTCCAGCTCCCTCCCATCCGCTCGTGTCTCGAGGGTGGGAAGGGGAGAAAACAGCGGGTGTCGAGAGGACAAAAGGCATTGAGCAGGACAGGAGGGTCACGGCGGGGGACTCCAAGCCGTGGCTGACTGCAGGCCAAGGCAGAGGAGGTGCCTGCAAACCCAAGCAGCGCCAGCCGCTCCGCCTCTCCCGCCCCACGCGCCACCGCCGGTCGTGAAAAACAAACCCAAGTTACCAAGGCGCCCAGCCCACGCAGACGGAGCGAGCGCCGCTTCCCGAGGTGCCGGGAAGGGCCCCGCTCACGCGGCCGGCACATCCACGCGGCAGCCCCATGGGGCACCCAGGGCCGGCCTCCTGGCTCCCTTTCGCTTGGGTGATCTGTGTGGGAGAGTGACTTAGAGAGAGAAGCAGTTCTGGGGAAAATGAAGGGTTCTTCCAGCAGAGCGGCTCTACGGGAAACACTGCAGGAAATCTCTCCCCCTGTCCCCAGCAATTCTCCTGCAATAAAATAACCTGCGCTAGAGATACCCTCTGCTTTTGTGCCCCCCTGATGAGCATGGGCCCCAGATACAGGGCAAAGCCTCCGCAGGTCGATGACAAGAGCTCACTTTGGCTCTATCTGTTCCCAGCTGTTCTGCCTCAAACCTTGAGACAACAGAAAGGTCCCAAACTCCTCATGGCCATCGCCAGCCCCTTGGTCCCCAATGGGGATTTTACCGCCCATTTTTGAGCTCCGTTGCTGTACCTGCCACCTCCACAATGTCCCCAGGAACGATATCGCGGGCGCGGATCCTCTGCACGCCGCTCCTGTCGGCACGGATCACCTTTCCCATCTCCGGCTCGTATTCCTTCAAGGCTTCGATGGCGCTCTCGGCGTTCCTCTCCTGCAAGCACAGCAGAGCGGAGCTGCAGGCAGCCGAGCGGGTTGCAAGGACAGGGACTGAGCACAGGCCTGGGCTCTCCCATGTCACTGTGTCTCTGGGCACCGTGGCCAAAGAAAGCATTGCTGCAGCTTGGTGGCAATGGAGGGGACCGAAAGCTCCCCTAGGAACACATCTGCCCATGGCCAAGAGCAGTGCTGCACTGCCTGGTAAATAAGGGCAAGGTGCTGAACTGCAAGCTACAAAAGTTGCCAAAGACTGAAGGAATGAGAAAATAAGGGCTATGTAAAAACGATCTTCCTGTGGCAAGCCCCGAGGAAGCCTTCGGAGGAGGAGCCAGGAGCTCCGCGCGGGAGGTGCTGTTTACCTGCCAGACGCCCACCATGGCGTTGGCCATCAGGATCATGATGATGACGACGGGCTCCACGAATGCTGTCGTGGTCTCCTCGCCTTCCTCGAACCATGCCAGGAACTGGTACAGGCAGAAAGAGAAGAGTCAGGGCACGCATGAAAGTACAGGTGCCAGGAGTTAAGAACGGAGGTTCCAGCAAGGGCCAGGCAACAGGACATGTTTGATGGAGACGCGGCCGCCCCAGATGGCGGCCGGCAGGTCCTAGGAAAGGTGGCACGTGGAAAAGTGCCAGCGCTTCCCAGGCAGAAGCTGGGACTCCAAGGGCACACAGTGGCACTGCCAAAGCAGGAGCCCCCATGGATCCAGCTTCCTTCCCCTGTGGGAGCAGCACACATTGAACAGGACCAGGACTTCTCTCGGGGCAAATCCCGGAATGCCTTCAGCTCCGTCAGCCCATGCACCCAGCCATCCTGCTGCACACACGTCCCAAACATGCCCACCTTGCCTGGGGCAAGGGGCACCACCAGCCCCACACTTTTATTGCATTTTGACTGCATTTTTACAACCCTGAGCCACCCCTCTGCACCCTGCAAACAACCAACGCCATCCCACAAGCGCAAGAGAATATGTACAAATATTTCCCCTTCATTTAATGGCATGCAGGCTACGTCCTGTGTCAATACAGCACCACCCTTCTTCCCCGCGGCAGAGGCAGTGAGCGCTGCAGCAGCAGCCCTTGGGGAGCAGCGAGGGTGCTGGTGCTCCTAGGGTGCTGCTGCTCCCAAGGGCAGGAGGCACAGCCGGCCTCGCTGCACTGACACAGCAGCACACAGAGGGCCTGGTTTTGTGCTGGTGGGTTTGAGCAGCAAAGTGAGGACTGAAACCCACGTGTCTAGAAGATATTCACTCAGTGCATGGATAAGGCATCACCCTTTTGCCTCCAAGAGCTTTCCTCTTAACAACAGCGCACAGTGAGAGGACAAATGAGGGCTCCCACGGCTGCTCCTTGCATGGACTACGGCGGAGCTGTGACTCCCAGGCACACGTGTCCTCCTCATCCTTTCAGGGATAGATTTAAGCTCGTGAGGAAACCGCCCGCCTCCTTCCTTCTCTCCAAACCCACCTCGCCTATTCATCCTTCTCATGGAGGCTCCATCACCCCACTCTCTCCTGCTACTGGGAAGTCAGATCCAGGCACTAAAGGCTCCGTGCAAAGTTTTGTGCCTGTGCCAGATAGGAGCCAGAAGATACAAGTGTCACTGCCTGTTTAACACACGATGCCTTACAGCACCGGGCGACGCTGCAGCTGCTGACGGCTCCCGGCGAACAAACACCAGCTCCCGGTGAGCAAACGGGCCAATATTCGGGTTGTTCCATGCTGCACATGAAGGCGGCCTTGCTCAACACGGACGTTGAGCCCATGGGTAAGCTCCAGGAGGGGTTGTGGATGAATCACGGCTCCTGCTCGGGAAAGGCAGGCGCGACGTGAAGCGTCTCCCTCCAAGCCAGGGAGGGAAGGGCCCTGCTGAAGCTCTGCTGTGTGAGAAATCCCATCTACCCCATGATCTCCCCTCGTTCTCTCCTTCTCCAGACACAGGATGCAGGTGTCCACACCATTTTTCCTGCGTGGATAACAAGTGCCACCTGCTGAACACACCATGCTTCAAGGGACAACATTAAGCGCAGGAAAAGCTGGACCTTTCAGGGACAGCCCACGTTGTATTCAGCATCCTGGGAGCTCCCGGCACCGGGCAGCCCCAGCGAGGCTTCGTGACACACTAAACACAAGGCAAATCCACCCCCAAACAGCTTTCTCTGACCCTACATAAAGACACCCTGGTGTTTTCCACAGGGCAACCCACCAAGAGGTGCATTTTCTAAGCAAACATTTGTCTTGCACTGCCCGCATTGCACCCAGCTGTATCCCAAAATCCCTGAGCATCCCTTGCAGGGAGAAGCTGGGCTCTGCCCGGCCCTCCGAGCACTCCTGCAGCTCTTGCCCGTGTCCGTGCCCGTGGGCACTCGAACGGAGCGGGCTCGGCAAACAGCAGGGAGGAGGCACCTCCCACGCAGCAGGGCAAAATGCTGCGATTCCAGCTCAGCCACAGGAAGAAAATTAAACAACATATTGGATTTCCACTTCTAATCTGAAATCTGACTGCTTCTGTGCAGCAATGAAAGGGCTTAGCAAAGCCCAGACTTTAACCCATCAAGAGAGAGAGTTTATTTCCAAGCAAGGAAACCACAAGGGTTTGGGAAACACTTCCAACTGCCTCTTTTCCTCAAGTAGGCAGAGATGTATAATTTAGCCCTGTGCCCATCCCTGCTGGTAGATCCAACCATAGATGAATATAGTAGGTGGAATTTTTGAGCTGGCTTTATGGGTAGGAGCCCCCCTCCTCTCCCACGGCCCCCCACGTTTACCCGGAACACAGTGCTCCACCACTGCCCCCAGCACACTGGCTCTGGCTCAGGAACAAGCCTGCAGCTCCTTTTTGTGCTCTGCCTCTCTCCAGCAACAATTTGTCTACTGAGCAACACGGAGGTGCAGAGAGAGATGCTGAACACAGATCTTTGGCATTTCTCATGCTGCAACTTATTTCTTTCCAAAATTTCCAAAGGAAAAATATGGACGGGCTAATTTTCCCTTTCTATTTTATCCATGCACACAAAGTCGATGCACAAGACACGTTTTACCCAACGAAAGATGGTACAGAAAATAAATATGAATTAAAACTGGAGGAAGGGCTTGTACATAGGCTGCTCAGATTCTAAACCAGTGACTGCTCTGAAGTGAGCCCCAAAGACACATCCCCTGCAGCTCTGCGCCATCCTCACCGTTCACACGTGAGGTTTCTCGCTGCACACATGCACCTTGCCCAGCTCGTTCTTGCTCCACGCCCTTTGCCGAACACGAGTGCACATTCCTGCTCAAACAAACACTTGGACTGATTCACCTCTCTGCCCGCTCAGCAGAACCAGGGTTCCTGGAACTGGTGAGATAAAGAGGTCAGACTTCCGAGTAGTGGAGTGGAGAACATACAATATTTAGAGGCAAGCAACACTTGCTCTCTTCCATGCTCTCCTTTCACATTGTGTTTTCCCAATCTTATAAGATTTCTGTTGGTTACAGACTTTCTCTGCTGCCCCACAGATGAGAATTCCTCGATTTTGCACATTTAAGATGAACGCTTGGGAGCAGGGACTTTTTTCCCTTCTTTAGGAGTGCTCAGAAGCTGATGCTGGGAGATCCAGGACCTACAACCAGCGTGCTTGATCCCAGAGGTTCCACAGCCCCTGCAAGGGATTAAGGGGAAGCAGGACAAATTCCAAATCAAGACAAGGCACAAGTTTAGCTGTGAAAACAGCTACGTACGGCAACGACTTTGCAAAGACCGCAGTGGGTTCCGTTATCTCGCTCTATTTTTACAGACTGGATGTTTTCTAAAACATATGTTCTAAGCTCACCCACTATGATGGGACTGCAAGAAAAAAAAACGATTCAGGGAAACCCTAATGCTGATATATGTAGGAAGCTGCACGAGATGATCATAATGATTCCTTCTACCCTTACACATACGAATCTGCATGATGAAAACCCATGCACTGCATCATAGGACAGGCTAGTGGCTGAACAGCACGCAAAGCCCACAGGCTGGACAAGCTGCTGGCCTCATGCACCTCTCCATCTGTAAGAGCTATCAGAAAAAAAACAATGTGAGACCAATACAACTCCTGATAGTAGCTTTCAAGACATAAAGGTATGCTGGAAAGTGGAAACGAATAATCTCATTTTTGTGCTTGGGTCTGTTGAGATTAACAGACACAGACTTGACCCTATAACACGCAAAAGTCAGGCAAAAAATATGTAAATGCTGTGAACAGTGAGGTTAGTGAAGGATCAGAACCATCTGGGGACTCTGTCATTGAGACCTTTAATAACACCTAAGAAAGACATTAAGCCAGAAATGATGTGGGTAGAGCAGATCCTTCTTTGGCACTGGAAGACATGTCCAGATCTTTCCCAGTCCATTTCTTCTGCGTCATTAGGGCTCAGAGTAGAGCAGGACACTACAAACTGAACAAGTGGATGGGCACAGGAATCCAATAAGACCAAGAATGTAACAGATCCAGCTGTGACTTTCTCAACAGCTTGAAATAAATTTTTTAGCCTGGCTTCTTTCAGTCAAAAGATTTGCCTCTGCCAAACTGTCATTAAATTGCAGTGAAAGAATCCCACAATGGCAAAGTTTCAAGGTATGCAGATGACTGTTGCTTTTCTAAAAGAAATCATTTTATTGGAATTAGCTTAACATCTTTTCCGGGGCTCATGTGACACTGTCTTTGAGCCCTTTCCTGCCCATCTCCAGTATAGTCTTGGAAAAGCAGAAAGCAGCCCAGGAAGGGCTGGGATATCACCTTCATCTGGATCACCATTACCGAGCACCCTTTAGCCTAGCATCAAAAGCACGATACGACGATGCTGTACAATACCCTGCCCAAGCAGGGCAGTGTTGGTACAACTCCTTCACCCAGCACTTAGATTCCTTGGATGCTTTTTGATTTAGCAACAAAGAAATCACAGAAATTAAGGTCTAATTTCCTGGTGCTGCTAAAGAGCTCCTGCTTCATTTGGACCCAGCATCTTTTAGGCCTCAATCTCATCCAGATGCCAGCTGGGTGCTGTGGGACCCGAGCTTGCTCTTCCCTCCTTGCCTCACTACACTTCCCTGCCAGCATCCAAGTTTGCTGCTGGGAGAAAGAGGAGAAGAAGGAAGGATCCCACAGTCTGTCCCTCCGCTGGCTGCCGCGGGTGCCATGAGCCTACTCGCTTGGCACAGCATCAGCTCCCATGTCACGTGGATTGGAAAGTGCCCCAAAAGGTGCCCGTGGCCCTGCATGAGCCCCCCTGTGTGGGTTGGTATTTCTGCGGCAGTGCCGCGGGGCGCCCGCGTACTCACAAATGAGAGGAAAGCTGCCACCAGAAGGATGCGGACGAGGAGTTCTTTAAACTGCTCCAGCACCAGCTCCCACAGGGACTTTCCTGGTGAGAAAACACACAAAGGCCAGTATATGAGAGCTCAAGAACTGCACAGCAGGCAAGCAGACCCCTTGGCCCACCAGCAAGACCCCATCCTGCACCTGCAGTAGAGTTGGCCACAGACAAGAACAAGGAGATCCAGGATTGTGGACCATCACTAAGGCACATGAACGCGAGTGCTCACGTCCTGAATCAGCTCTCATCATCGTCAGCTCAGCTCCAAGCAATGAGGGATTTTTCCTTCAAATATTAAACCTCTCTTCCTTCCTGGCGTTGGCCTGCTTTTACTAAATCTGTTTCTACTGGAGAGACCAAGTCCTCCACGTTCCTACTCGCACCCGATACCACCTGGCCCTCTTCCTTCACAGGAACATGCTGCTCTGGGCCTGGCGATTTCCGCAGAGATGAAATTAAGGCAAAAAGACCCAACAAAGGCTCCACCTCCCGCCAGCAACGTTGTCCTCCACATCGGCCACCAGTGTCCTCCTCCAATGGAGCTGGCCCAACTGCACGGACTTACCTTCCTCTGCGGGGAGCTCTGGCGGGGGTTCAGCCATGTCCAAAGAGCAGGAAGGAAAAAAAAAAAAAGGAAAAGGAGATAAATTAGTGCTTTGGAAGACAACCAGTAAATGCACCCAGGCCCAGAAAGGGAACTCGCTCGAGCAGTTGGGTTTGCAAGCGGTGTGAGCGCAGAGGCGCGCGCGGCTTTCACACCCCGGTGTGTCCCATGGCTCTGCGTGAGGGAGGAGGAGATGCATGGAGCAGTCGAGTCCAGCACTTCCCCGGGCGAGTGAAGGGCAGACTTTGGGCTAGCACCCAAATTAATCCCTTTTTCTGGTTGTTGGACAGAGCTTAACAGAGACCCTGCTCCAGGCCCATGCTCCAAGATACTGCCATAAGACATAAGCTGTAATAACAAATATTATTAATAGTAAGTCATTTTTATAATGATAATTTATTAACAGGGTCACCTCCTGCAGTGGGTAAGGGAGCTGTAACCCAGGGATGAGGGCGCAGTGCTGCTCCCCACGGCACGGCTGAGCATGGAGGCTCTCAGTGTGCGGGGTGAGCAGAGCCCCAGCCCTGCGGGCAGGCTGGGTGCTGCGGAGTCGCCACGCAAACGCCCTCGCTCCGCTCCGCTCCCCTGGAGCCGCCTCTCCGCGCCACAAACAAGCCGCCTTTCCTCCCCATTCCCGCTTCCGCAGGGAGGGGAAGCGCATGGCTAAAACAAAGGCCTGCGCCGCCTCCGGGAAGGGAGAAAAACACCCAAAAAAGCAGTGAGAAGAGCAAGAAGAAACCCAAAATATCTCTGGCAAAGCCAGCAGCCCCCCTGGCATGACATGGAGCAGGAATCTGGAGAGATCCTGCTGCTCTGGGATCCTTCTCCTGACCCATCAGGATAAAATGCGCAGAATAAACTTCTTTTAGGCGGCGCTTCCGACCTCCGGGTATTAGGTGGGAAGACATCCACCGCGGAGGCAGCCCGTGGGTGCCAAGCTCCGGTGGCGGCCGCGGCTCACCAGCACTTCCGAGGGTCCCGTTGGAGTAGGTCTGGACCCATGGGAGTCTCCGACTGGCACGGAGTAAGCTCAGCCCCTCGCCACGTTCCTAGAGGGTAAAGGAGACTTATCCAAACACCTCACTGTGTGTTTATTAACACAGCCCCTTGGCAGAGATGCTTCCCAGGTGACGTCTCAGGGCGAACCGCTCCAGCTGCCTCTCTGGAGCGCGCCCAAGAGCCTGCAGCACAGCACCCTGCTCGCTTGCCGGTGGCAGCGCTCCCCGAGCAACGCAGCTCCCACGGCCTCCAGTGTGTCCCGGGACAGGGAAATCTGTGGGAAGGAGCCTGTGGAAGGAGAGGGCCCCAAGAGCCAGTCGTTTGCAAAAGCCATGGGAGAACCTGAACATGAGCGCGTGCCCTGATTTCACGCTGCCCTTCCAAAAACGCTCGTATTTAACTCACTCCATCACCACGAGGGTGCAGGTGGCACCGGCCACCGCTCGCGAGGAAGGGGAATGTTGCCCAGCTTGCGTGCTCCCTTATAGCCTATCTCGACCGGCCCGGGGAGTGGAAACCAAGTTTAATCCCCACAGGCTGCCGGATGCCAGGGAAGCAGCGCGATCCGTCCTTATCGCTCGCCCTTGGGAAAAAGAGAAAACTCCAAGTTACCTGGTGCCAAAGGATAAGTGCCACCACCTCTGGCCAAGGAGCACAGAGAACATCGCGTCTTGCCGTGAGCGAGGACATTGCGTCTGGTTTCACTAACAGGACATGGAGCCAGGGAGGACAGAGGTCCCAGGCCAGGGCCACCCTTATTCCGTGCACCAAGGCCTGAAAGCACCTGCCTGCCGCTGTCCTCCCCACTAAAATGTCCCTTCATTAAATTAGCAGCCTCCCAGCCCCACAACACAGCACAGTGTCTGCAGCAGCCTCTGCACAGGGCGGCTCCGCCGCAGGAACCGGAGCGTGGTGGGAAAAGCCAGGCGAGTTCAGCCGTGGGGCTCAGCGCGGCCATCAGCCACCCCCCGGGCTGCAAACTGCTTTCATAGAATTAAAGAATCCTTAAGGTTGGAAGGGACCTTAGAGAACATCTAATCCAACCGCCCTGCACATGCAGGGTCACCTGCACTACCATCACTGTCACCGGCACTGCAGTTTTCCCGGCACTCATCTGCCTGCAATTTATTTTTATCATTATTTTAATCCTGCAAAAGGGCAGAAGATCCTGCCTAGGGCCAGCTCAGAGCTGGGCTCACAGGCTCAGAAGCATAAAGCTCTTCCAACAACACATGGGGGAGCTGGGGGAAAAGCAGGGAGACACCAGCCTCCTTGGCTGGGAGTGCTCCTCCGCACCAGGACTGCGCATCGGGAGACAGCTCCGGCCTTCCTGGCCGGCAGCATCGCCCGGCTCCTCGTCGGGCTTCCCTCTCCTGATGGGCTCTCCCTCAGCGGCAGCCGCAGGGAATCCCAGGCAATTCCCGGCAGCTGCAGCCAGGCTCCCTCCCGCTGCTCCCACCGGCTCCGTGTTCCCTTTCGGGAGGTCAGCAGTGGCGCGAGAGCTGCTGCCATGGCCAGCGAGTTTCCACGGCTCCGTTTGGGAGCAGGAGGGCGAGTGCGCGGGCAGGAGGAGCCCCGGCGCCCGCACAGCCTCAAAGACGAGTTTTGTTCTGCACCGGACCGACGCAGTGGAAAGAATTTCCCACTGAATCTCCTGGGTGGAAAAGCTAAAAAAATGGCATTTAAATAGCAACAGGTTTTGGAAAACAAGTAAAACCCACAGCAGCTTGAATAAAATAAGCCTATGAGGATGATTTTTTTTTTTAAGCTTGGTTTTTAAATAAACACTCTCTTCCTCTGTTGCTGTGGGGAGATCCCAAGCAGGGCATCTCTGGGTGCTGATATCAGCCCCAAATTCCTTTTTCATTTCTAGAAACCCGATGTTCTGCACATTACACTCGAAACTCGTTTCTCCTTGCACCTGCAGAACATGCCGGAGGGATGGAGGCACGGACAGAGGGACGGCTCCGCAAGGAAGCTGCCCATGGCAAGTCTGTTTTCCCGGCAGCACCGTGGGGCAGTTTAGGAAAGAGAATAAGCTGCTGGCGTGGAGGGACCTTGAAAAGCCCAGCTCCACTGGGACCATTCGCCCACCCGCCAGCCTTGCTGGGAGGGATATATATATACACACACATATATACACACACACACACACAGGTGTACATATATGTATATCCAAGCCCCGTCACCAATAGCCACAGCTCCAACACTGAATCACCCAAGCTCTCCTGGATGATTCCCAGTGTCCCAACACCACATTCGCGGGCAAGAACCATCCCCTCCACGGGCTTCTTTAGCTAACGCAGGTGAGTGGAGCGCGTCAAGGCAAGTGCTTTGCTCTTCCCCCTTTCGCTTTGGTTTTGCCCTTGCCAGCACCCAAGAAATGGAGTTATCCTCGGCAGCTTGGCAGCCCGTCTCGCGTGCAGCTCGTCCTCCGTGCAGAGCTCGCTCCTCCAGGTCCCATGGTCACCCGCTGCAAGCTCAGCCCCATGCATGTGTTTGCAGGGTCATTCTCCTCCCTCAAGAAAAGCAGCAGGAACAAAGTGGGGGCGGCACCTAAATGAGCAGTTTTAAATCCAAACCACACTTTTTCCCCTTGTCTGCCCACATGAAAATGCACGTCCACCCCTGGACACTGCGGGCTGCTTTGGAGCTCTGGGTATATGGATATAGGGGCAGAGGATCATCACCAAGCAGCAGAGGCTGGGGCCATGGAGCACTCAAACCCCAGGAGCTCCCTCTCAGATCGCTTTAGTGATCGCTCTCTCAGATCAGCCCTTGTCAAGGGGAAGGTGGAAATTCTGGGTGAAAAAGCTAAAGAAGGAAAGAAGGCTTGAACGATATTTCTATGGACAAAACAGGAGTCCCAGAGTAACACGGGAGCTCGTTTGGCATCATGCTCTGTGCTCTGTCTCCTTCAGCATCACCTTGGGGCCCTCCCAGAGGAGGACAAGGAGAAACAGCACCATCCATCTCCGAGCCCCTTCTTTAAACCCTGAACTTGAAGTGGGCTCAAGTTGCCCAGCTTGAGTTTCACACTGAGCTGCCAGAGGGAAGAAGGTTCCGGAGCTCCCGAGCACTCAGGAGCAGCCATGGAAACCTTCCACCTGGAGGAGTAACTGGGATTCTCGCAGGAAGGAGGATGGCGAGTCCACGTGCGGCCCTGCAGGACAATCCCACAGCCTCCTCGCCACGTCTTCAAGACGCCACAGGGTTTTCTGCAGTCAAATTCCCCTAAGGTGAAAGAATCCATCACGAATTAGCCAAAGCTTGGGTGTTTGGGGTATTTTTTTCCTCCCTCTGCATCACATATTCCTTCTTTTAGACCCTCTGCTGACTGGAGGTTGCACAAGGGAGCAAACCGAAGGGTGAGGCACGCAAAGCCTGCCGGTTTAGAGGACATGCGCTGCAGAGGGACCAGGGCTGCTGCCACCCTCGGGGACCCAAAAACCTCGCAGCAAGTTCAGTTCCTCCTCGAGCCTCTGCTTTCATTGCCTGGAGCGAAGGAAGTAGCAGAGAGAGTCTCCCCCGCCTACGCACCCCTCCCAGCAAAACAACCGATTTTTATCAGCAACAAACATCAGAAAAACTGTTTCCACCCCAAAAAAAAAAAAAAAAAAAAAAAAAAAAAAGAAGAAAGAAAAACACCCAAGCTTGTAGAACTGCTCAGAGGGGACAGGGCAGGCCGAGACTGACATCGTGGCCGCAGGGCTTTTATCCACGCAAAGCCCCCAGCTCTGCCACCTGCTCTGCAGGGTTGGCCATGGGGAGCTGGAGAGCCCCCAGACTGTTCCTAGAAATTAGATAAACAAATAAGATGAAAGGGGAGGGGGGACCCTGGCACCACGGTGATGCACAAGGCTGGAAGGGGCACTAACATGCTGGAGGACGAAGAGGTGGTCCAAGGGTTTCTGCATTAACAGGATCTGCTCCAGTCGCCCCGGCGTTTTCATAAACACCAGACAATGCCACGCTCGCCTTGCCAGCCAGCTCTGTTCCGTTCGGCATTAACTCTTTTCAACAGCCCTTCCCTGCCTTTCCCCTTAGAGCTGGATTAAAGCATATATTTATATACATAGCCACTAAATACCAGGAAACACCAGAGGCAAAAACAGCCGCAACAGGAACGCGGGGAGGGTTTCCTGCCTGCGGCATCGCGCCGCCGGCCTCCAGCGCGCCACTAGCCATGGAGAGCCCCGGGATGCTCCCGTGGCCACCGAATTCCCGGGAACGGGCCCAGAACTGCCGGCTCCTGCTCAGCCAGAGACATCTTTTATATCCTCTTGTTTGTTTATTTATCAGGTCCTCCTTCATGAAAGGACCTTGTACTGGAAGGAGCTTGTAAATATTGGCATGAGAGGGGTGAAAAAGGCCAGCGATCGGCTATGGGAGCGCCTCAAAACGTGGGAAAATGCAGGACTTCTTTGGCCTTTAACGAGTTAAAGCAAGACGGTTAAACAGCCTCGGAAGAGTCTGTCTCACACGTGCTCACGTCATGGAAATACTCGAGCAACCACCGTTTTCTCTGTTACTTCTGCACGCCGGCCCCGGCTCTGCTATCTGCTTTGCCACACGAGCGGCAGTGCAGCGACGAACTGCAGCGCGTGGGGTTTGCCTTTCCCAACGTAATTTGCTGTGACATCTTCTCCCTGCTGCACTAGCAATGCTACAATATAAAACAGACCCTGAATGACAACATTGACAAAAAAGAAAACACCCCCAAATCACACAAATAATAATAAGTTTTGGTGAGAGGGCAGCAGTTTGGAGATTTGCCAGGTATTTTTCAGTGTTGCACTGGGTCTCTCCAGAACCATCTGTGTCTCAGAAAACACAGGTTCAACTGTGGTCCCCCAGGTTCAATTCAGGGATAAGGGTTAAAAACCTGCATTTTCTTCCCCAGGTTATAAAGAAATTGTGCTTGGTCTTTGCACATATTCAAAGGTGCTCACAATGTTTTAGCCACATCAGCATTTCTCCTAAGGGAAGGAATTTTGAAGAGAAGGAAAAAATAAAAAAGGAAAGAAAGAAGGAAAAAGAAAACTGTAGAATGTTTATGAATCAGACTGTTAAGCGTGTGTTTTGGGGGTGGAAAAGGTGGGCGATGCACAGAGGAACAGAGAACAGAGTTAGATGAGTCAGAAAACGCTGCTTTTCCTCTCCTTACCGGCATCTCAATCATTTCAGCACGAAATAGAGTTTATTTTTATTTCATTTCTCGGCCGAGGGGCGCGAGCGTCGCCTCGGCTGGTGAGCCAGGCGCTCGGCGCGGCCGCGCTGTTCTAGTACGCACGCTGCCGCGCGCACACGCGCGCTCACCTACAGCTACGCATGCACACGGCTAATTAATAATAATAAATCAATTTAAAAGCAGTGTTTTTGACATTGCACCTAGCAAAACATGTGCAGGGACAAGTGCTAATGCTGGAGCCGGGTAACGGGCTTTGCACAGCGCTGCTCTCCTTGGTCTTGCTCTCCTTGGGCGCTCGCGGAGCAGCTGCCAAGTGAATCTTCCCAAAAGGAAGGACCTTTGCAAAGCAAAAATTGCTGGAGGGCCTTTGCTGCAGCCTCGCAGAGCGAATGCAAAGCCGGATAACCGCCCCTATGCTGTGAGCACCCGCGCGCTTGACTCGGCTGACATTCACAGTCCATTTAGGTTGGCGACGAGGCAAATAAAATTATGCATATGCATCAGCGCTGGCAATCTCACGCCCGGAACGCATGCTCATTTACACATGGAAACTCGCTTAGATTAGAGAAATTAGAGCTGTGTTTAAAGCAGAGAAATCATTTCACTGGCCGCTGGGTAATTCCTGTTCTTTATCCGACTCCTCTGCAAAACTGATATAACTGAAGGGTCAGCTGGGCCCTTCTTTTTTCACAGGGGTAGATATGTTTGAACCTTGGTATTTTCCATTTTGGTCTGGAATAAATCAGCAGCACTTCATCACAAATGCACATTCTTATAATTAATTATTGCCGTTTTTAGAGCTGTGATTTTAAAGCAACAAGTGCACATCCATTCTGGTAGATGAGAGGAGGGGGAACAAGGGAGCACCCAAGCTGGACAGAAGAGCATCCCCAAGCACTGATGAGTTTAAATTCACTTTGAGGATTCCCCAGCTACGAGTTAAAATTCACTTCAAAGCTTCATGATGGTCACGGCAAGACCTAAACCGTCCTGCCGGTTCTCAGGTTTCTCAGCAGAGGAAGTCACCACGCTGCTGGTGACAGATTTGAAGCTAGAACCAGATCTCTGTTGAGCAGGGAAATATTTTCTTTCTTCGCCCAATAATCTCTCTCTTGCCGCTCTGCTGCCAAGCCACTAATTGGGGATGTTAAGCAGCCGGCACTGCTACTTCCTCCTGCAAATGTAACTGCGTGCACGGCAAGTGAGGAAGCAAATACACCTCCCCCAAAAAATCCTGTCACCTCTGTGTGTACAACATGACAAAAGCCACCTTGGTTCGCTTAACGTTGGGGCTTGCTGCAGCTCATGTTTTTTAAATGTGTTTACCTTATGGGGGAGCCTGGGAAAGAGGGGGGGGGGGGGGGGAAAAAAGACCTTGCAGTTCTGCCTTGCACATGAGGAAAGGTTTCTTTGAGAGGATTATGTATTTCAGACCATGATTCACGACACAACCAGCAGTTCGATTTAAGGTTCAGAAGGAAATGAATGAACGCGCAGCGGGAGGGGGGAAAGCGAAAGCAGCTCGGGCTGCAGCAGGGCCCCAGAAGTGTCCCCAGATTGGGCTTCTCTTGGCCCTTCTCCGAGCTCACACCATGCGCCGAGCCCCTCAGTGCCTCTGCTGCATCCCGCTCGGATGGGAACGGGCCGATTTCTTAGCAGTGACGCTCAGCGATTAAAAATTGCCACCAAGAGCCGCACGAGGTCCCGCTCAGCACACCGCAAACAGCGCTAACCCGGTGGCAGGGGTCCCGTCCTGCTGGCAGCTCCTCCACGCGCGCGGTCCTGGCAAGTGCCGAGTCCCCATGGGATGACCAAAGGATGCCCCAGAGCCAGCGCCGCGGGCAGGGAAGGAGACAGGGACTGGGCTGCAACGGCACCGCGGGCGCTCCCGGGCTCGGCTCCTTGCGGGGCTCACGTTGAGGTCTTGCCACCCAGAGGCATCGACTCAGACCTCCCCAAAACCCCCCGGTGTCCCCAGCCCGGGGCCACCGCCTGCATCAAAGGCGCGAGTTACCACAGCGCATCCGGCCGCCCCCCGCGCGCCGGCCGCCCTGCTCGGCGCTTGGAGAGAAAAACAGCACTAGCAGCAAAATAAAGGCACGTTTCTTGCAAATGGGGAGGAAAACGCACAGGGTCCAGGCTGGTCCATGCGCCTCCTGTTCCCTGGTGGGGTCTCCTTACCCTCACCAGACGAGGGGACGGCCAGGGGTGCTGCCACTCTGGAAACTGCCCCAAAATAACGAGCCCCCACCTCGAGGGAGGCCAGGGCCACCGGCCCCGACGGCCACCGGGCACAAGGAAGCCGGGTGCTCCTGGGGGGACTCAACGACGGGGGAGATCCCGGTGCAGCTCTGCCCCGACGGAGCGTCCCGGCCCCGGGCGCTGACCCGGCCCCGGGGGGTCCCGGCGCACTCACCGTTGAGGCCGTACTTGTCCCGGCTGCGGCGGACCTGCTCGGCGCTCAGCCCGCAGCTCTCGGCCACGCCGAAGCGGCGCAGGACGTCGAGCACCGGCACGCTGTGCGCCGCCTCCATGCCCGCTGCTGGCCGGGGGAGCGGGCCCGGGGGCGGGGGCGGCCGGCCCGGGCAAAGCGCACGGAGGGGACCCCGCTCTGCGCGGCGCTGCCTCGGC